GGGTGAAATCTTTTTTCCTGCAGTTTGAATCCACTGCTCTGTTGTGTCCTAGTCTCCAGAGCGGCAGAGAACAAGCTTTGTAAGGGGTTGGACTGGATGGCCCATGAGGTCTCTTCCAACTCTATTATTCTATGATTCTATTCCTCCTTCTCAATGTGACATTTTTTTCAAAAATGTAAACATCACGTCTCCCCTCAGCCTTCTTTGGAGACTACAACTAATATGGATATATAGAAAGTGCTGGTGAACATTTGCTGACAGGTCTTGCCAGGTCTTTCTCTCACTCCATACCTGCAAAGTTTCCGGAGCCTGTTCCACAGTCTGGAGATCCATAGGCTCTTCTGGAGCAGGCTGAGATAACAGAAGTGGGAGATAGGGATGCATCACATTCTGTACCGTACTTCCAAAATGAGCCAACATCTCACATGCAGAGTAGTTGAGAAGCCACCTTACTCACTTCCAATCTCTCTCTTTTATCACATCTTCTACTCCCAGATCTATAACCCCCCCCCCAACCTTCCCTTTACTTACACTGCATTATAAAATACAACATTGTCAATTCTATTACTTCTACATTAATCTAATTTTATTTGTTACATATCGTTATTGTAACTGCTCAACCAGTCTTTCTTGGACATTTGGTGGTTTAAATTTGCCATTGCTTTGATTTCCAATCTCTTGTTTTGAGACTACATGTGCACAATGTCCCAAGCATAAATATAGGTTGCTTACCTGTAAACATAGTTTCCCTAGTGGTCACCTGCGAATTTACACAATTTATCCGTTGCTGCCGGCGCGAGCGCCGGATATTACCATATGTGTAAATCGCAGTGACCACGTGGGGAAACTATATGTGCAAATTTTAGACCAGGTATGGGCAAACTTTGGCCCTCCAGGTGTTTTGGACTTCAACTCCCACAATTCCTAACAGCCGGAGTTGAAGTCCAAAACACCTGGAGGGCCAAAGTTTGCCCGCGGCTTTTTTAGAACAGTGATTCCCAAACTCTGGTCCTCCAGATATTAACTTTAGTATCTGGTCCTCCAGATACTAACTAGGACTCTACTCCTAGGAGTCTCAAACGCTTTAGAATGGGGTCAGAGATTCTGAGACCTGAAGTCCAAGACAACTGGAAGACCAGAGTTTGGGAACTGCTGTTTTAGATCATATGCGCACAATATCCCAGGCATACGACTGATGCAATGACCTTCTGGTTAGCCATGCTGAGATAAACTATGTTGCGCGGGAGAACATACAATGGGACATGTGAGTTCTAACTTCCTAGACCCAGTGATGTCCAACTTGTACCCCTCCTTGTGTTTTGGACTTCAGCTCTGAGAGTTCCTGGCCATTGGACAAGCTGACTAGGGCTTCTGGGAGTTGGAGGCCCAAACATTTGCTGGGCCACATGTTTGACCCCTCTCTATTCTAGACCCATTCTGCAATGGAGAGCATCACAGAGACTATCCCTGCCAGTCACTACGTTCTTGAAGATCGCAGCCCTAGGATCATGCTTTTCATTTATCAGATGGAAGAAACCTTACCTGCGGAGGATCGCCCACCCTGCGGACGTACTGAAGGACCTGCTCTTCCGTGACTGGCATGTGCTCCAGAATGACCTGCAAGCGCATGCTCATCATGGTGGTGAGCCAGCTCACCAAGGAGGGGTTCATGTCTGCCGACATCCGCCTCTGGTGCCAGGAGGGGAGAATGAAAGAAAGAAAAAGAGAAGGAAGAGCTGTCAAGGCACCAAGAAGGGGTTCCAGCCATTTTTGCAAAAAAAAAAACCCAAAACAAAACAAAACAAAAACAACCCTAAAGCCATCTTCCCAAAACCAACTTCCCTCTCCAGCTAGGTGTTCCTTTTCAAAATACAGTAGGCTCTCAATAAACCAGAACTCTCAAGCAATGGCAACCCCTCCCCGCAAAGGAATAATACTTGAAAGAAAAAACAGATCCTGATGATACTGAGACAGCCTACCCAGTGAACTCCATACCCCTCATGTAAGACTTTTAAGTGTGTACGTGTGTGTTTGTTCTTTAAAGTTAAAAATGCATGTCCTGTGTTTACTATATTTTGTTCTGTGTATTTTACTATATGTATTTCATATGAATACGTTTTAATACAGGTATTTTACATTATTTATTTATTTATTATTTATCGTGTCGTCATCATCATCATCGATTTTACATAATGATTTGTTTTAATTATGTTGTGCCCTGCGTTGAGGAGAGGTGGGTAAAATATTATGATTATGATTAAAATAGTTTATTATTAATATTATTTTTTAAATATGTCAGTGGAGATCTGTAAGCAGAAAAGTGTATTACCTGCCATTTAACTAAAAATGCTTCTTCATTCATAAAGCTGTTTTTATAACACAGTAAAACTATGTTATATGATTGTGTCTTTGTCTTTAAATCAGTATCCACAGCAGGTCAATACAGAGTTTAGGGGCCGTGATGGCACAATGAGTTAAATCGTTGAGCTGCTGAACTTGCTGACCTGAAGGTTGGCAGTTTGAATCCATGGGACAGGGTGAGCTACTGCTGTTAGCCCCAGCTCCTGCCAATCTAGCAGAAGGAGATCTGGTCTCGAAGACAGGTTGGACCTGAACCTCATAGGGCTTTATAGGTGATAACCTGCATTTTGAATTGAGTCCAGTAACTTGTCAGCTCCCTATAATTAGCCCATTACTAATTTGGCTGATCTTCAAACTAATTTCAATTTCCGGGCCATCTTCAAAGGCAGCCCCACATAGAGTGCACTACAGTAGTCCATTCTAGATGTCACTAAGGCATAGGCCACAGTGGCCAAGTCAGGATTTTTAAGATATGGTCGCAGCTGGTGCATAATTTTTAAATGTAAGAAGGTCTTCCCAGCCACCACTGACACCTGAGCTTCAAGTGTCATTATTATTTTACTGACACAAAAACACACTATGACACAGCAAATCAGATGCATAGGCTGGATTTTGTATCAAAAATCACAAGTGGAACTCCTCCCAAGCGTTTAGGACTGTATGATGTATTTTCAAATGATGTGAGCAAATCCAAGTAAGGTGGCCTTTCGCACTTGACAGATCGTGATTTTATCAATGTTGATTGTCTCCAAATGCCGGCTGAGAACTTTTGGCACAGCACCCAGTGTGCCGATTACCACTGGCACCACCTGTACTGGTTTATGCCAGAGCCTTTGCAGTTCAATTTTGAGGTCCTGATATTATTATTATTATTATTATTATTATTATTATTATTAATGATACGATATAATACGACGCATAGTATTAGGCCTATTTTTAATAGTAACTCTCAAGCAATCAGAAACTACATTTATCTAACACTCACTAATCCTCATGGGTGCCAGTTAATTGAGAGTTTACTATACTCAAAAGCAGCACTATCTCCCACTACCACACATACCAAGTCACCCAAAACAAGGTCTTTCCCATGTTGCCATCCTTGAGAACTGTTGGCAGATCTACTGAGAAGCTGACTGGCTTTACTGAGGTTATTTCTGGGATTTTTATAAATATGCATTAAGCTCTGAGAACCAGACTTATGTAAGTAGAGGGTAGGCAAGGAAGACCTGGGTTCAACTGTCCAGCCACCCATGAAATAACAAATGGGAGAGACGCCACGCAAATTGTTCTCAGTCATGCCTCACTTAACTCACAAGAGGAAAGAAGCAAGAGGAACAAACCTAAAAGCACTTTTGGGATTGATTATTTTGTGCATTTCGACCCACTTTCTCATCACACTAATACAGAACACTGTTAAGCCATTTGTTTCACTGCTGCATAGTTGTAGAAGTGGGATCATAGCTGAAAGATAATAAATCTCCAAAGATCACGGTGCCAATCAGCTTGGCACTGTGAAAGCCTTGAGCATTAGTCCCGAGTTTGAAAGCAATAAAAAAGCAATAAAATACATTCACTAAGCATCCCTGGCCTAAGAAAACCGTATGAAATCAATAGGGTCATGAGTAAATATGAAGCCTCATATAACCATACACACTAGGATTGTGAGATTTGGGTAAATCACGATCCATTTTGGTGTCCATGATTTCAGTGGGGGCTCCAATCCGTTTTTCGGAAGACACCCAAATACGGGAGGACAGAAGAAATCTGTTTTTGACCTGAGAAGCCGAAATATTTGTTTTTGATCCGGTCCATTGGTGGCAATGGGGGGGATATCCCAGACTCCCCCTTCTTGTCATTTTAAACATCGTTTGTCCTTATATCCTTCATTAAGACTTGTACTAAAAGCACCAGGGTTAAGATAGCATCCTCTCTTACAATAAATCCAGGAAACTTGGATTTATGACAAGGGCTTAAGATAGCACCCACTCTGGGATCCTTTCCCTTCTAGCAGATGTCTCCCTTCCTGCACTCCATGTTTACCCAAAAGAAACCAAAAGCAACCTATGTTGTTGTAGGAAAAAACCTACAACAACGCACCAAAAACCTACAACAATGCACCAACCTGCGTTGTTGTAGGAAAAAACCTACAACAATGCACCAAAAACCTACAACAATGCACCAACCTGCATTGTTGTAGGAAAAAACCTACAACAATGCACCAAAAGCAACCGTTTTTCAGTTCTGTTGCAGAAGGGCATTATGGCATTATGGGCATCCAAATCCGCCATACCAGCCAAAGACCATTTTTGAAAACGAATCCATGCACTAGCCTAACACACACGAGCACAGGAAAGGCTTGAAAACCTGCCTGTTCCACCTTGCTTTTGATGAATGAATAACAATCCCCATACCATGATCATCCCAGCATACACTTGTCCTCTTTGGTCCATTTCCCCTTACTCCTAGTGGGCAATTAAACCCCATAACTTGTCCCTCCTGTATCTCCAACCAGATAAATCAGTCCAGTCTTCCCCTCTCACCTAATGTTCCCTTGTTTTTATGCTTGCATTTGGCCCAGCCCACTCCTTTTATTTCTTATCCTTAATTTTTATTTTATGTTTATCCCATTGAGTTGTTTCTTTTATTGTTGTATKTATTGTATTGTCGAAGGCTTTCATGGCCAGAATCACTGGGTTGTTGTAGGTTTTTTTGGGCTATATGGCCATGTTCTAGAGGCATTCTCTTCTTGCCATAGTTGCAGGCGAAACATCAGGAGAGAATGCCTCTAGAACATGGCCATACAGCCAGAAAAAACCTACAACAACCCGTTGTATTTATTGTTTTTATTGCTTGTATTTTATTTTGTTATTATTTGATGTACGTATTTTATTTGCTTACTGTATTGTTGGGCTTGGCCTCATGTTAGCCACCCTGAGTCCCTGAAGGGAGATGATGGCAGAGTATAAATAAAGTTTAATAATAATAATAAGGTACTTTCCTATGATGAGAACAGGAATATACAATCAAAGCACCGTATTRTCGAAGGCTTTCATGGCCGAAATCACTGGGTTGTTGTAGGTTTTTTTGGACTATATGGCCATATTCTAGAGGTATTCTCTCCTGACGTTTCGCCTGCATCTATGGCAAGCATCCTCAGAGGTAGTGAGGTTGTGAGCTTTGATGCCTTTGGAGAGCAACCTCACTACCTCTGAGGATGCTTGCCATAGATGCAGGCGAAATGTCAGGAGATAATGCCTCTAGAACATGGCCATATAGCCCAGAAAAACCTACAGCAACCCAATCGAAGCACCCTGACAGATGGGCACCCATTCTCTTGCTTAAAAACCTCTAGAGGAGACTCCAGCATGTTCCATCATCAAACAGCTCTTTACCATCATGAAGTTCTCCCTAGCTGTCAGGTGGAACCTCTTCTGTAAATTTAATCTGTTGCTCTATGCAACAGTTTCTAGATCAGCAGAAAACAAGCTCGCCCTCTCCTCAATGTGACATCCTTTTAAATATTTGAACATGGCAATCATGTCCCCTCTCAGCCTTCTTTTCTCCACGTGAAACATACCCAGCTCACTCTGATGTTCCTCATAGGGCTTTGGCTTCTAAACCTTTGACCATTTTGGTCGCTCTCCAAAGGCATCAAAGCTCAGGAGCTTTTCCTTCTCAACAGCCTTTGGAACTAGTGCAAGTGCCTACAGATCCCCATCTGCAAATGAACACAGCTTTCTCTTCCAAAGATATCAACCCCAACCAAAGAAAGCTGCTTGTGGACATCAGGAATGGAGAGCACCAACACTTACAATGCGGTCGTTGATGACGGCTGTCAGGGCGCCCTGCTCCCCCCGCAAGCAGTAGAGGTTCAAAGCCAAACACTCAAACAGGCCCTGGTTGCACAGCTCCAGCAGCCGATACCCAAAGGTGTTATCTGAAAAGGAAGGGAAGAAGACAAGGAAGAGAATCTGAGGAAGGGAACAGCTTGATCGAAAGACCCCTGAGGCACAGCTCAAAGCGATGACTCCATATTGCTCCTTGGATCCCTGACCACTCTACTAAGCCCTGCCCTTAACTCTGTGGTTGTCTTACCGGTGCAGCGGAGGATGTGTGTAGCAATGCGGTTGAACTGCTCCTGCAAGAACTCCAGATTGGTGCGGGTGATGTCGACGCCATCACGAACGCGGACAGAAGCCTTTAGAGACATTGGGGGGGGGGGGGGGGGGGGGGGGAGGAATGATGAATCACATTTTGTCTGTCTGGAGTAGTTTTTAATTTTGTGAATTATTTCTGAACTACTTGTTTCTGAAGATTTCTACCACAAGATTTCAAACTGAATGGAGTATTCTTCTTGAAATGCAGTGAGCAGACTACCTGGAGCGCACATAGGCTGCAAAACCCATTCCGTGCATCACCAGAACTCCATATGCCAAGATTCTTCATAAACACAATATTGCCACAAAATGGAGCACTGGCTGTAAAGCCCAGCTTCCTGAGAATCTCATATTGTTTGTGTGTGTGTGTGTGTGTGTATATATGTAGAAATATTATGAGCCCCTGGTAGTGCAGTGGGTTAAACTACTGAGGTGCTGAACTTGCTGACTGAGAGGTTGGTGCTTCAAATCTGAGGAGCGAGATGAGCTTCTGCTGTTAGCCCCAGCTTCAAACCTAGCAGTTCAAAAACATGCAAATGTGAGTAGATCAATAGGTACCACTTCAGCGGGAATGTAAATGTGCTCCATGCAGTCATGCTGGCCACATGACCTTGGAGGTGTCTATGGACAATGCCAGCTCTTTGGCTTAGAAATGGAGATGAGCACCAACCCCCAGAGTTAGACACAACTAGATTTAATGTCAAGGGGAAACCTTTACCTTTTTTATATGTAGAAATAGAATGAAGTTACTACCCCTTAAAGTTGTTCAGGTGGTCAAATATGCAGCGATTCTAATACCTCACATATCTGCTTGTTCAGCCCCATGTTATGGGAAAAAACAGCCAGGATTTCCCCTTAATTTTGCATAATTCTACAGCTTGCCGAATCTAAGATCTTAAGCTACAGAATTTCAGCCTAAAGATTTTTCTGTTTGTCCAGGACTATAAAAATAAATAGAATGAACATGTTTCTAAGGATGACATAACACTTCTAGTGAGACGTCCCTGAGGATGCTTAGACCCATCTAATCTTGTTTAATCTGCAATCAGAAGTGGGTTTAGACTTGATTCTCTCAGCTTGGAACAGGGTTGGTGCAGAAACAGAGGAGGATGAGATGAGAGTGACACTTACAAAGCTCTCGCGGATGTAGTCCTCCAAACCGTTGATCAAATTGTAAGTGGCCATCTGGAAGAGTCAAAAGAGAAAAGCACCTGTTATCAACTGCAAGGGGAGTGGAAGCAGGAAAGCGGTGGAGGTGGGGGAGGGGGAGAGGGTCTTCCCACCTGGATGTTGCGGTCGGTGGGCTCTTGACCATGAAGATACTCCTCCCGGAAGAACCGGTTGAGCTGGGGCTGGATCCGCTTCAGGGGCTGGAACTGCCCGTGTAGCAGCATCACCATGTCAACCATGGAGAAGTTCTGACAGATCAGGGAAAGCAGATCTCCAAAGAAGCCTGGAAAGACAGGCACAGAAATAAAAACAAGTGCCCTCCCAATCCTCCATCATTTTTGTTGGGTTTCATCCCTGTGTCATCAAGATTTCAGAATTCAATGAGTAACAAGACTAGACAGGATTCGGCTGAGGGATCCCCCCCCCCCCCATTCCTTTGCATATAGAAGGCAGCCTATCACAAGACAACAGTGTGTTCCTTACCCAAGGCCCCCTCTGTGCCCGGCTCAAAGATGTTACTGGTCCCGCTCAGGCGCTGGATGAAGTCAGCGATGCTCTCGGTGCTGCACTGCTGTGCACTGAGTGAGCCCATCATGGATGACAGGACCCCTTGGACGACGCTGGTGAAAAACTCAGGGGGTGGGGCGTCAGCTGAGGAGGCCCCTCCGCGAAGCCCACTGCCTCCCACACTTCCAGAAGGGGCATCCGTTCCACTTTGGGGAGTGGAGGGGGGAGGCGGCGTGGGTGGAGTGGCCTCTGGTTGAGGAGGAGGAGGAGGAGGAGGGGGACTCTGTTCAGGAGGGTGTGGAGGAGCTGCTCCCATCTGTGTGGCCTAGAGAGAGAAAAGGAGGCAGTCAGGAACTGGGCTGAAGGGAGGTGGAAAAGGCTACACAGGCTTTCAAGAGACCCTGGTCCTTCTTTCTTTCTTTCTTTCTTTCTTTCTTGCACTTCTGCCCCGCCCTTCTCATCTCAACCCCCGAGGAGGGACTCAGGGCGGCTTACAAAAGGCACAATTCGATGCCAGCACAACAATAAGATAAAAATAAAACATATATAAGCAGTAATTAAAACAATTAAAACATTCCATTATACATCATAATCCATAAAATCAGTCTAGTGCTCAACGATTTCAGCTCAGAGTCCGTAAATTCAATTCCACATTGTCAAATCCATCAATTCTAGTCGTCGCTTGTCCTTTGTCTATCTGCCAGATTACCCAAAAGCCTGGTCCCAGATCCATGTTTTTAATTTCCTTCTAAAGGAAAGGAGGGATGTCGATGTCCTAATTTCCCCGGGGAGTGAATTCCACAGGTGAGGGGCCACCACCGAGAAGGCCCTGCTCCTCGTCCCCACCAACCTCACTTGTGATAGAGGTGGGAGCTGAGAGCAGGGCCCCCGCAGAAGATCTTAAACTCCGAAGCGGGACGTAGAAGGAGATGCGTTCGGACAGATACGCTGGGCCGGAAACGTATAGGGTTTTGTAGGTCAAAACCAGCACTTTGAATTGTGCTCGGAACTGGATCGGCAGCCAGTGGAGCTGACATAACAGAGGGGTGGTATGCTCCCTGTATGACGCTCCGGTGAGTAATCTGGCTGCCGCCCACTGGACTAATTGAAGTTTCCGAACAGTCTTCAAAGGCAACCCCACGTAGAGTGCGTTGCAGTAATCTCTTTGCGATGTAACAAGAGTGTGGGCCACTGTGGCCAGATCAGACTTCCCAAGGTACAGGCGCAACTGGCGCACAAGTTTTAATTGTGCAAAAGCTCTCCCGGCCACCACCGAGACCTGGGGTTCCAGGCTTGCCAGGATGGGTAGGAAAGAATGTGCACTGGAGTTTATTTGTTGGGGTAAATTTCCCAAAAAAGAAAAACATGCAAAAATGTAAAGCAGCAACAACAGCAACAGCAGCAGTTCAGCAGATCAGAAGCTTTTAGTGCCAGCAGTAGAGCAATTGCTCGTCAGTAATAAAGGGGCAGAGCAAAGCATAAAAAATTTCCAGACATTAAACAATCAGGGCCAGCTAACACCTCCCAACAAAGGATTCTCCCAGGCAGGAATTAGCCAAGCTTTGAAGCTGCAAGGCTTTGAAATGCTAATCAATTGTCCAAGACTGTTGCCATCATGCCATCATGGAGGAGCCGCAGAATGTTTTTTTTTTTTAAGCCATTCCTCAATACTATCAAATCTAGGGAGTATTAAAATATGAGGACATTTCTACAAGGGAGAAATATCATTAATCTTAGTAATCTTTGAGACCATTTTATTTAAATGGGCAAAGCAGAATATATCTATACAAAGGATTCCCCCAGGCAGGAATCAGCCAGGCCTTGAAGCTGCAAGGCTTTGCAATGCTAATCAAGGCAATTAATTGCAACATTCACACTTGCCTCCAATAGACAAGAGTTTTTTCTCCCACCCTGGACATTATTGCACAGATACATAAACCTCCCATGTCTAGTTTCCAACAGACCTCACAACTTCTGAGGATGCTTGCTACAGATGTGGGTGAAACATCAGGAGAAAATGCTTCTGGAACAAGGCCAGACAGCCCAAAAAACTTACAACAACCCAGGGATTCCAGCCATGAAGGCCTTCAACAATACATTGGATATTGTCTATGAGGCAGCATGAGATATTGTAATTCTACCATAGTTTGTACTGTTATTATTCAGTATGCAACCCAATTATGAAACACTTTATTCAAAGAAGTACGTAACTACATAGGAAAGCTAACAGGACCTAACTATCTAACTAACTCACAGTAGGCATCTTGTCTGTCCATGTTCACAGGAGAAGAACAAAATGGAGGGCTCAGGGGGATGTGTATGCCAGAAAAAGGGGTCTCCCCCCAAGGAGTATCAATAGAACAAGAAAGGTGATTGGAGGAGAGAGAAGTAAGACTTGCAGACAGAGGCTAATGGGCTAACGGCTTTTCTCTGTCAACTAACTCATTTGCCTACAAATTCCAACATCACTAAATGTAAATTCACATATGCTCATGGGGAGAAACCCCCAAACTTCCCTGTGGCAAACTGTCCAGGTAAGATGCTATGGAAGGATTTTTTAGGTACCCACCTGAAGGAAATCTGTCATGCCTTGCAGAAAAGCAGGCACCCCTGGCATGGCCACAGTAATGGTTGGGGAGCCCACGCCGGCCACCCCAGCCATGGTGGAGCCTGTGGCACCGAAGAAATTCCCCAGCAGCTGGGATAACTGAGACAACTGGAGTTCGGCGCCTGCTGAAGGAGGCTGGCCGGACGGGATGGGCCCTCCTGGGGCACCGGCGGAGCTGCCTCCAGCTGCAGTGGTGGCGGTGTTGGTTGTACCAGCGCTGGCCGAGGCAGTTGGAGGGGAGGCAGAATTGCTGGTACTAAAGGTAGCTTGTGTGTTGACGGAAGGAGGAGCCGACGAGGGTGTTCCACTGCCCTGCGCTGGAAAGGAAACATGGAAATGACTGCAGGGTCTAGAATCAGGGGAAAGAGATATGCCCATTCTGTCACTCATCACTTAAAATTGTCCCACTTCAGATTCAGAGGTCAGCTGTGACCAGCAGTGCTGCAAAATTTGAAGAGGCACGAATGGACAGTGAAAGAGAGAAACGTGCCAAGAGGAAGGCATGTCAAGCCAACACTGACCGAGACCGCCTTCCATCTGGAGACCAATGCTCTCACTGCAGAAGAAGATGCAGATCAAGAATAGGGCTCCACAGCCACCTACGGACCCACAAGAATACTGATCCTGGAAGACTATCCTACTTGGCCAACGAGGGATCGCCTAAGTAAGTAAATAAGTACTTCAGATTGCCAAACACAAGGAATCTCTGGTAGCTCATTTTCCTTTTGAGTTTAAAGCTACAGCAGCCCTTTGCTTTTACAATGGTTCCTTCCAACTAGCCAAGTATTAAGTAACCCAAGCTGCTTTAAATGTCACTTTAGCATTAACGTGTCTTAACTTTCTGTCAGCCTGGGGGATGCTGGATTGCCTTCCTGTTTGAACAAGGAACCCCACAGAATCAATGTTCACTCTATTGCTTTCACAAAATGGTAACAATGTTTTAACTGGTCTTGCATCCATCTCCACCCAGGCACTACCTTGATTTTCCCTCAACAAACTCCATATTTAAAATTGGAAGGATAACTGATTGTTCCTGAAGATGCCATTCATGGAAGATTTCTGAGGAGAATAGATGACAGCTTTTTGAGAACAGTTTTCTTTGCTCACTGCAGTGAGGAGCAAGAGACACACACACACACACCCACGCACAAGGCAGGACAGTGGGATGCTACCACTGTATATTATATTTTTCTTTGCTGCCACCAAATATTTAATAAGATTTCTTTTGCTGCCTCCTTTTGTAGTTTGTTTTGTTCTTGAGCAGTAAAGATGCGCAGTGGTTTCAATAACTTCCTTCTCTGGGTTTTACCACCTACCCACAATGACCGGCTGCATGAGGAGTTGTCCCACCAGGCCACTGATCATCTGGGCCAGTGAAGCGTTTCCACCTATGCTGGGACCCTGGAAGAGGAAAAGACAGATTCAGAAGAAAGAAGACCCCTAACTAGGAAAAGAGCCCCTCCTTCATCCAGCTGCTCTCCTTCTTACCCCTTGTCCTGGTGCCTGGGGTGACCCCGGGTGAGTGGGACGCACAGAAGGTGCTGAGGGTCTGGCAATCATGACACGCGTGGGTGCTGACTGGAAGCTCGGGACTTGCTGGCCTAAGAAACAGGCAGAGCAGAAGTCCAACACAGCATATTTCATCGCATAATAGTCACCATCGCATAACAGTCAAACCCCATTTTTTTGAATTTATTTTGTTCTTGAACAGTAAATATTTGCAGTGGTTTCAATAATGTGACAGGCTTTACTTCTTACAGAGAATGGTCTTACAGAGAATGGTCAACCCGCCTCGAGTTGCCTCCGGGTTGAGAGGGGCGGTATACAAATATAGTAAATAAATAAAAATAAATAAATTCCTTGCATAATAGTCACAGAGCTGCCGTGTGGGGCTGATTCCCCCTTCCTTCCTTCCCAAAGGGAAGTCAGGTTTGTTTGTTTTTTTAAAAAAGAAAGAAACAAAACAAATAAGATGGTTGTTTGAAGCTGGATTATCCTATTTGGGATAATGGATCATGACCTGTTAGTATCACTGTTAAGATTGTAACCTAATTGGGGTGACAGAGTTTATTTGGTAAAAGGATTGCTGGGCATGTAGACAATTTGTTTCTGTTTGATGCTTTCAGCAGATAATGATGCAAGCAATCTTCTTCTACAGATAACAAGTTTTGTTTACTCATACCTTCATGTATTTAAAGATACAGTCACATTTCTTGTCAAGGGTTTAAAAACTTCAGTAACGTTTTGTCCAGTTTTACACCAGAAACAGACTTAGACACAAGTGAAAGTAAATTAAAAAGGCTTTGCTTCAGTCAAAATAAAGATGATAGCCACCCTTCAAGTAAAATAAAACAGAAGTCTTTGCATTAGACAGCAAAATAAAGTCTTTGGTAACAAGCTTACAAGTTGCAAAAGACAAGAGCCTTCAGAGATCTGACACTGGAACAAATGATACAGTGCTGGTAACAAGAACTCCCCCCAAAATAGCTCAGTTGCAGCCAGAACTGAGCCCCTGACTTTACTGCTAATTTATAGTCCTGAACTTCCCAGCACAGCTATCCCTCAGGCGCAGGCTGATTGCTCAGCGTTTTCTCTACTAGCCTAGAATCATAGAATCATAGAGTTGGAAGAGGCCTCGTGGGCTATCCAGTCCAACCTCCTGCCAAGAAGCAGGAAAATTGCATTCAAAGCACCCCCGACAGATGACCATTCAGCCTCCACTTAAAGGCCTCCAAAGAAGGAGCCTCCACCCCACTCCAGGGCAGAGAGTTCCACTGCTGAACAGCTTTCACAATCAGGAAGTTCTTTCTCATGTTCAGGTGGAATCTCCTTTCTTGTAGTTTGAAGCCATTGTTCCGTGTCCTAGTCTCCAGGGCAGCAGAAAACAAGCTTGCTCCCTCCTCCCTATGACTTCTCCTCCCATATTTATACATGACTATCATGTCTCCTCTCAGCCTTCTCTTCTTCAGGCTAAAAATGCCCAGTTCTTTAAGCCGCTCCTCATAGGGCTTGTTCTCCAGTCCCTTGATCATTTTACTCACCCTCATCTGGACACATTCCAGATTGTCAACGTCTCCCTAATTGAGCTTCTTCTGCTCTCTTTCTCCCTTCAACATTCCAGAAACATAGAGATTTCTGACATATCTACCACCTCTCCTCCTTCCTCCTCACCACTCCATCCCAAATCCTCAAGTGCTGTTTCTTCCACCACCTGTCCTCCTTCTCTGTCAGAATCAGAAGAGCAGTCCACAACATGTTTCGGAGAGTTTGTATCTTGAACTAATAATCTTTGACAGTTTCTTCATAAACAATGTTGCTTTATACAGCTCTCTTTAATAAGAGTTTACTTTCAAATAAAAACACAAGCGTCAACAGTTCCTAACTTCCGAACATGAGCTTCTGCACTCAGACATACTTCTATACTCAAGCTCATTCAAGGTAAAAGACACTTCTCTAAACCAAGGTTCCTTCACTGTCATCCTGTTTAAACCTTAAAATTCTAAATTGTCACTGAGTCAGTCACATGACTTGCAGCCCCTCCCTGCTTAAGGTATTTAGAGATAAGGAAACTGCAAATCAAATAAGACATATACTTCAGGTTATAAAACAACACATTATAAAACAGATAAACATCATATAGAGGAGGCTTGAGAAGGTTGCTTCCCCCAACACATCCCTCCTCCACCACCTTCTGTCTCAAAGGTAAGGCAGCTTATTTTATTTTAAAAAAACATAAACTGGAGAATCAAAGGCAGATTTTTTTCTTCTTTGCACAGTAGTTGCAATCCTCCCTTTTTCAATCACAAAAAGTGCTAAGAGGTGTGGCTATCATACAAAGAAATACAGTGCTTTGAATCTGGATGCCAAAAGTGAACTAGAAAATGTACCTGCAGCAGCTGAGGCGGCAGCTGCCATGGCTTGCTGTGTTATTTGATGGGCCACAGCCTGCATGAACTCTGGAGGGAGGCTGGGGAGAGGCATGTGAGCAGCACCACCTACAAGACCAAGAGAATTATCAACAAACAGCCAACAAACATGGTGTGAACACACATGTGCGTTTTTTAAATATACAGAAAGATGCTTTATCTAATCGGAAAGGTTACACACAAAAAGGATCCAACTGAAAAAGTGTGCAGAAAGTGTTTGAGGTTTTTGAAAAAAATGTGCATCTATCTAAAAATGCATACCAAGATGCTGTATATATCAATGTATAAACTGGGAGTAATTATGGATTTTGATATGACTGGTTGATAAGTGAAGGGTTATTCCACAAAGAGGGGATGGCAGAAATGCTCTCTCAGAGGGTCAGTCATCCCTGGCTGCCACTGCCATTTTCCTAACCAAGCAATCAAAGAGGCCAAAACCAACAAACCACAGCAGAGAGAGGGGAGGAGAGCAGTGCTTCTTTTAAGATCTTCTGGAATGCTCTAAGCCAGCATTTCTTAACCTGTGGGTCAGGACCCCGGGGGGGGGGTGTCACAAGGGGGTGTCAGAGGGGTTGCCAAAGACCATAAAAAACAGTATTTTCTGTTGGTCACGGGGGTTCTGTGTGGGAAGTTTGGCCCAATTCTATCGTTGATGGGGTGCAGAATGCTCCTTGATTGTAGGTGAACTATAAATCCCAGCAACTGAAACTCCCAAATGTCAAGGACTATTTCCCCAAACTACACCAGTGTCCACATTTGGGCATACTGAGGATTCGTGCCAAGTTTGGTCCAGATCCATCATTGTTGGAGCCCACAGTGCTCTCTGGGTTTGTGTGAACTACAACTCCAAAACTCAAGGTTAATGCCCACCAGCCCTTCCAGTATTTTCTGTTAGTCATGGGAGTTCTGTGTGCTATGTTAGCTTCAATTCCATCATTGGTAGAATCCAGAATGTTCTTATATTGTAGATGAACTATAAATCCCAACAACTACAACTCCCAAATGACAAAATCAATCCCCCCTTTCCAAACCCACCAGTATTCAAATTTTGACATAATGGGTATTTGTGCCAAATTTGGTCCAGTAAATGATAATACATTCTGCATATCAGATATTTACATTACAATTCATAACCGTCGCAAAATTACAGTTATGAAGTAGCAACGAAAATAATTTATATGGTTGGGGGTCACCACAACATGAGGAACTGTATTAAGGGGTCGTGGCATTAGGAAGGTTGAGAACCACTGCTCTAAGCTCTCACCTTTTGCCACTCCTCTACTCAGAAACAAAGTACCTTTTTTGTAAAGGTTAAGGTACTCACACTGACCTGTGTGAGTAAGTCAAACCAAAAATAGATAAGGTTTGCACTTATACATGAGTATATAGTGTAGGTATGCAATCCAATGAAGAATCAGATTTGCCCATCCCTTCTAGTAGTCTATCCAGAACACCCACACACTTTGCTCGGTCCTTACCCATTCCTGGAGTATGCCCAATTGGCCCAGGAGTTCCTGCAGACGGTGCTCCACCAGATCCGCTCCCTCCCATTGGGGAGCTAGAATCTAAGGAAGTGGGGGAAAAGACAACTTCCAATAAAGAAGCGCAACAACTCAGAGGCAAGGTTCTGCATGCAGAATATCACAATTTAAATCTCCAATCCCTTCAGGTGTGGCACAGAAAAATGATCAACTGGCATGGAGAAATACTGGCAAATTCTGAGCAACAGAAGCCAACTGTCAGACCAAGTATATGAGAGTGTCTACCATCCCCAAAGCCACACGGAACCCAAGGCAATCCTATAGCCAAAAGCAAGCGCTGGAGCAAAGAGAACAAAGACCAGAGGCTTCAGGCAACAGATTATGAGTTCCAGGAAGTTGTCTAACTGCCTATGGCATCAAAGATGCTGGAGAGAGTCCCTCCCACACCCAGCAAGTTCTCACCCCAACTTAATGCTAATCACTGATACACCTCACGTGCTCAAAGAGCTGCTGTGAGATTTCCAGGCTGCATGGCCATGTTCCAGAAGCCTTCTCTCCTGATATTTTGCCCACATCTATGGCAGGCATCCTCAGAGGTTGTGAGGTCTGTTGGAAACTAGGCGAGTGGGGTGAGAGGAGTCTACTGTATACTATGCAGTTGTGGACAAGTTTACACAGGGACCACCAAACACAGAATTTCCCAAACATGAATCAAGGAACATGAAAGGCACTCCAGACTACTTCAACCTGAGAAGTCAGCCATAGAAGAGCACTTGATGATCCACCCTGGACACAGATTATTTGAGAACACAGAAATGCTGGACCACTTTAACAACTACCATGTCAGACTACACAGAGAAGGCATTGAAATCCACAAGCATGTGGACAATTTCAACAGAAAGAGGAAACCATGAAAATGAACAAAATCTGGCTACTAGTATTATAAAAAAATCTCTAAAATCAGAGGAGTAAATAAAGAGCGACTCAATAAACAAGGGAATTTGAGACAGGAATCAATCAGAGCCAGCTAGCACCTCCCAACAAAGGATCCTCCAGGCAGCAATCAGCCAAGCTTTGAAGATACAAGGCCATTAAATATGAATCAAGGTGGCCAATTGTGACATTAACACTTGCCTCAAGCAGATAAGAGTTCTTTCCCCCATCCTGGACATTCCACAGATATATAAACCTCACTTGCCTAGTTTCCAACAGACCTCACAACCTCAGAGGATGCCTGCCATATGTAGATGTGGGCGAAACGTTAGGAGGGAATGCTTCTGGAACATGGCCATATTGCCTGGAAGACTCACAACCACCCAGTGATTCCGGCCATGAAAGCCTTTGACAACACAGCACTCAAAAGACTTTCACACATGCTTTCATTTGAAACGATTTCAGTCTTTACAACAATAAACCCACACCACAGCTCAGTTTTCATATCCACACATTTTACGCATGCTGCAGGATCTGAAGAAAAGCTCACTTAAGATCATCTTTTCAGATGAAATTCCTATGCCACATTGCGAAGGAACCCTCATCAAGCCTCCTTTGACCTAGAATATCCTCCTAAGCCTCAAAGCATTTTCTTCTATCACTACCCCATTCCCCCAGCATGGTGCCAGCATTTCTCCCCGACACATCACCCCTATTTTAAAGTCCCATATTTAGTGCCCTCTCCCAAACAGAATGCATAATGTCTCCTTACCCTGTATATTCATATGCATCATAACTACGGGTTCCACAGTCTGGTGCGAGATACGGATCACCCGGGGGTGGCCTGTCTGGGAGGCCTGTGTCTGCGTAGGGGTGGCCCCAGGGGAAGAGGCCGCAGGGGGAGACCCCTCAGTCGGACGGCCAGCATCTGGAGGAGTGGAAGTGCCCGGCTGAGCAGGAGGAGAGGTCTGGGATGCCGTGGACCCTTCTGAGCTAGGTGGAGCACCTCGAGAGCCATTGCCTGTCATGGTGACTGTCGTGCCAACATTAATCTGCATTGAGAGGAAGTTGTACGGCAGGTGAGACATGGCAGGACTCCTCTACTATTCTTCCTCACTGAATCAGAACATTGCAGGCTGGGAACTTGCAACCAGTGCCTGAACCTGGTTTCTGCTTAAGGGGGTGTAAAAACCACTTGCCCCATGCCACGTACCTGGATAGGGATGGCAGCCTGCTGGAGCACCATAGGGGCTGTGTAATGGGACATGGGCCGTACCACATGGAGGTGACGGGGGGCATTGCAGGAGAGGTTGCAGCGCAGATCAGAGAGCGTCACAAAGGTGTTACCCAGCAAGCGCAGTGACTCCCCTACCAGGTTGATAATTCGCTGGTCTTCTTCACGGCCTTCAATCTGGAAGGAAAGGCAGGATGGGAAATGGAATAAATTGACACAGATGGGTATTACCTAGCAAAATGCCTTCAACTCCATTAAACACAATCATTCAGCACATTCTGGAATGAATCTCATAGCCAATGGTGCTAAAATGAGGAAGTTTAAAAGTTTTAGGCAGATGATGAGAACCTGGTTATTAACAACCCATCGATTAATTCCAATCCAACAGCTACACCAGGATGCGCATCTATGGGCCCTTCCAGACAGGCCCTCTATCCCAGGATCTGATCCCAGGTTTTCTGCTTTAAATTGGATTAGATGAGTCCCGCACTGCCAGATAATCTGGGATAAACAGAAAACCTGGGATCAGCTCCTGGGATATAGGGCCTGTCTGGAAGAGCCCTACATCTCCTTAGACAGGATTCAATTATCACTCTAACTTTTACAGCTGGCTGGAGCTGATGGGATCTACCAGTCCCAAACACCTGGAGAGCCAATATTATTTATTTGGTTATTTATTTGTTTATTTATGATTTCTAACAAGCCTGGAATTGGATTCTCTCACAGCATGGTCCATCAAAGCAGGCAGATTCCTCAACTTCTTTGCAAACACACTCATGGGTAAAAAACAAAATGGCCTGATCACTGTAATCGTTGGGGAAGGGAATGCCAGACTAGACCCAAAAGTGGGAAACCCTAGACATTTTTCCATCAGCAAGCACAATCTAATGCCACATCCCCTTACATTGTTGTTATAGTCGGCCGAGCCTGCAGTCCCCAGGATCTCTTCATATCTCTGCAGGAAGGGCTGGAGCCGGTTCTCAACCCCTCGGAGCTCTCCCAGTACTTCCACATACTCACTTGGTGAAGGATGGCTATAGGAGAAGACAAGAGAGAAAGATGAAGAGGTGACATTTAGCCCTCCTTTTCATCCCAGTGCCCAGGACCCGAAGTGCATTTACTACTACCTCTCCACTTTCTGTTAAAGACATGGAAACACTGCTTTTGAATGAAATTCTCAGCACCCCACATCCAAAGCACCCCCAACAGATGGCCATCCAGCCTCTGTTTAAAAGTCTCCGCAGAAGGAACCTCCACTACAGAGACTTCCACTGCTGAACAGCTCTCACAGTTAGGAAGTGTTCAGGTGGAATCTCCTTTCCTGTAGTTTGAAGCCATTGCTCCGAGTCCTAGTCTCCAGGGCAGCAGAAAATCAAGCTTGCTCCCTCCTCCCTATGACTTCCCCTCACATATTTATACATGGCCCTCATGATGTTTCCTCTCAGTCTTCTCTTTAAGCTGCTTCTCATAGGGCTTGTTCACCAGACCCTTGATCATTTTAGGAACTAGACTCCTATTTATGCAGGCCAAAATCCCATGTCACCTATCATCCCCTTCATGAAAACTTCCCCAAATAAAATCAAGCATTACTGGGAATTGGTTTATGCCTGAGCTTGAAAATACAAGCATCACATGAAACATGGATAAGTCTGAGCTTATGTGTCCATCTGAGCCACCGGCTATGCAGACTGGAGTATTTGTCTCAACTAGCACCTATTTCGCAATTGCCCTCTGTGATCCCAGCACTACATGGCTTGTCCACAAAGAGCTATTGTCACCTTGAACAAGGAAGACAACAGCCACCAAGGAAATCACTTTCAACTCGAGTCTCTTTCCCTAGTAAAAGTACCCTCTCCTTACTTAGGTGTAGCAGCATCAGGCGCAGGGGGCGGCTCAGTTCCAGATGGAGGCGTTTCCTCTGCTGCCGTGGGCTCACTGGAAGGCTCGGATTCAGCCCCTTCCATTGGCTCCTGTTCAGTGGGGCTAGCAGACGGCATCTCTTCAGATCCTGAGGGGGCCTGGCCATTGGTGCGACCCTGAAGAAGAAGAGAGACACCAAACTTTCACAGAATATTTCTGATCCACTTGCATCCTCCAGAGTTGGAAAAGTTACCACATTCAGATGTAGCACAGAAACTCTGGCCATGGAGGGGAGTTCCAGAGATGTGACTTAAAACTGAGTTTTTCAAGCTCTATTTTACAACTATGCCCAACAACATGAGATCAGTGTTACACTCACCTCCAGTCGGTTGAGGATGCCCTGGACATCCCTTAACATATGCTGGGCCATCACAAGACGGATGCGGGGCTCGCTCTACAACAGCAGAAGAGGAGATATTGCAGATCAAACCAAGGGCACTATTTTCCTAGCCAGAATCAGAATCCCTCCAGACCCACAGAATCATCAAAGGCAACAGCAAGACTCTCCAAAGCCCACCTCCCAACACCAACCTCCAAGACCTCCTTGAGGATCAAACTGCAACTTTACCCTTCAAGGCTCTACTTTCATTACAGGACTAAACATAAGAAAACTCTTGCTTTTCATTGATAATATACATCTTATATGGGACGAATGTGTATAAGACCACGAAGGATTAAATGGAAGTCACCAGCTTTTTCCTTTTTTTTTTTTTTTTTTAGTTTTTAGTTTTGTTTTATTCTTTTGGGGGTTTTTTTCTCTTTCCCCCTTTTCCCTCTTTTTCCCACTTTTTATTCACAATATTGTTCCACCACTTTACATGTACAAACAAAATATTCTCTTCCCCCTCTTTTTTTTCTTACCCTAAATAAAAATATATATTAAAAAAAAGAAAACAGGATGTGAGCTACCAGTAATTTGACAGAATCATACACCCCCAAAGCCTATGTTGCATTAATTCTTTCTGCAGCCACACAGAGAGCTCCTTTCTAGAAAAAGATGCCTTCCACCATATACTCCTATATCCTTGGAGCTCTGGGAGCAGGGGGTCTACTTCTTAAACTGTGAGTCCTGACCCTATATGAGGTCCCCCTAGCTCAATGCTGAGGTCACAAAAAATTCAGCAACAATAAATGGTTTCTGAACACCACCCAATTAATAAAGTCTGTTGACAACAATGTGCAATGTTTACAGAGGACTCTGCAGAAGATGCTTCAGCTGTACTCCACAGAAAAGAAAATCAGCATGCTGAGCCAGCGTTGCAAATGCCGATTTGTTATCAGGAAACGTTTGATTTTATACCTATTTTATATACTGATATACCCAGGGTGACATAAAATTGCCTGAGCAGAAAAGGGCAGGAAAAGTTGAAGAAGTTCTGCTCTAGAGAGGACCAGCAAAGCTCCAGCCCAAAATATACTAACAGGCCCTTTCCTTTTAAGCAGCTAACTCCCGGAGTTGCTAATATTGTTTCCCACAAGGAGGCATTCCATGACCCTACTTAGTTTTGTTTCCTGCATTAACACCAGTGTTTCATACAGAACCGTCATGCAGCATTCTCAGTTGCACTTTATATAGATTTTCGTGCATGTTTACCTTATAATAGTCTCAAAATGCTATAAACTGTATAGTATTAAGTTCTATATGTAAGTCAGTAAAAACAATTTTTAAAAGGATTGCTGCACATACTATAGACTTATACAACGCTTAAAGTCAAAATGCTTTTGCACATACTGAGTGTTGCCATCTTCCCAAGAAAAGTAAGTCGGGGGGGGGGGGGGTTAAAAGGTAAAGGTTTCCCCTGACATTAAGTCTAGTCATGTTCGACTCTGGGTGGTGGTGTTCATCTCCATTTCTAAGCTGAAGAGCCAGTGTTGTCCATAGACACCTCCAAGGTCATGTGGCTGGCACGGAGCGTAGTTATCTTCCTGTGAGTAGTATTGATCTACTCACATTTGCATGTTTTTGAACTGCTAGGTAAGAAGGAGTTAGGGCTAACTATGGGAGCTCACCTTGCTCCCGGATTTGAACCGTCAATCTTTTGATCAGCAAGTTCAGCAGCTCAGCGGTTTAACCCGCTGTGGTGAAGATTTATTGCTTATGAAAATATTGGAGAACAGCTTCCAGAACTGTCCAACAAGAATGACCAAGGATCATAGCAGCAGGGACTCTGCAGTGTAATTGTCCAAAAAAGCAATCTTTCAAGAGCTTTCCAGCAGTTCTTTCATGCATTTAACTTCCACTTATTCAAAGGGGGAAAATCAAAGCTTTACCAAGATATATAGCCCCTCACATTTTTTTTTCAATAAAGTTAACACATCCTATTTCCACAAACACACATATCATCTTCCCTCTTTAACCCAATCATTTCCAGTCTTTCTACCCCTCTTGTACCTGTATGGGAGCCTGGTCCATATTTATATGAACATCCACAGACGATCCATCGCTCTTTGGAAAGCAGGGGATGAGAAAAGGAAGAGATGGTGGGAAAAAGTTAAAAAGAAATAAAGAATTTGGGAAGTGGGAGATGAAAGAAAAAAAGGGGGGGGGGAACCAAAATGGAGCAGAAAGAAAGGCAAAGTAACCCAGGAGATCAAACAGTCAGGAATTCAACTGTCTCTTAGCTATTCTATCATTACATAATACTTAATAAATATTAGGAGTAAACGAAACCAACATCTAGGCTTATATATATAATTCTCACTTAGTCAAGGTACTCTTTTTAATATTATTTTCACTATATATCTTAAGTATCCATAAAAAAAGAGAAAAATGTATTGTCCAGATGATCCAAATTCTGAATAAAATAGTTGGAACCAGTGGAGTCCTATAAATGATGCAATTGTGTATTGCAGTAATTGTTTGACCTTGCTAGTTACTGAATGGCAATGAGAAATTTGGGCTATATAACCCTACACAAACATTGCCAGTCTCATTCAGTTAACCCTAGGGTTGCTGAGAGTTCAGTAGGCATTGTGTGCACAGATTTTGGAGCTAATAAAACACAATATAAGGCAAGAAAACAGGATTTTTAATAATAATAATAATAATAATAATAATAATAAAGAGAACCTGGGATTCAGTGAAATGTGGGCTAAGATCACATCCTGCCCTTCACTGTCCTCCTACAGAGCCAAGGCATATAAGCTCCACTCTTCTTATCCAGATTTTGGATTACAGTGAGTTTTTAATTTGACCCCATTGCCCTTTTTCAGACACAATTCCCGAGTCTCTCTAGTTTTAATTTTTTTAATGTCCAAAAGAAATAATTTTAAAAGCAGATTTTGAGAATTAGGTCTCAATACTGAGGCCACAATCTCCAATCGATAGGTGTCTTCAACTGGGCACAACTGAACTCAATAAGCTTTTCTTCTGAGTGATCCTGAACAGGACTGTGAACATAGAACACACATTTGAGGAGACTGCAATCAGTTTCATGAAAGCCTGGCTAATATAGCAGGAGAGGGTAGGCAAGAATGTCTCAGATGTCTTCATTACGGTTACATCAATATTTTAGAAAGCTGGAGTTTTAGATGGGGTTAGAAGTGCCCGTGTTATCAAAGGTGTGTAGGATTTGCTCTAAATAGATGCAGAAGAGAAGGGCACTATGAAACCTCCTTGTGTCATCACAAGGGCCCACAGACTGTCCCCCAACACAGGAGGCTGGAAATGCTATTGCTTTGGACCACAATGCCAAGAATTCTTTGAGTAACATTTCCATGCTCTGTTTCACGTGCCCCTCTAAGTACACACCTTCCTAACCATTTAATGCAGTTTCAAAATGGTACTGAAGAAAGTGGTTTTTCTCGGTTTTTCTTTATTATTATTATTATTTCTTGCAGCCCAGGAACAAGCCATGAGAACCAATGCAATTAAGGCCAGGATCGAAAAATCAGCTGATGACCCAAAATGCAGACTGTGCAAGGAAGCTGATGAAACCATGGACCATATCCTCAGCTGCTGCAAGAAAATCACACAGACAGACTACAAATAGAGGCACAACTCTGTGATCCAAATGATTCACTGGAACTTATGTCACAAGTACCACCTGCCAGCAGTAAAGAATTGGTGGAATCATAAACCCACAAAGGTCGTGGAAAATGAACATGCAAAAATACTGTGGGACTTTCGAATTTATACTGACAAAGTTTTGGAACACAATACACCAGACATCACAATTGTGGAAAAGAAAAACGTCTGGATTATTGATGTCGCCATACCAGGTGACAGTTGCATTGAGGAAAAACAACAGGAAAAACTCAGCCACTATCAAGACCTCAAAATTGAACTGCAAAGGCTCTGGCATAAACCAGTACAGGTGGTCCCAGTGGTCACTGGCACACTGGATGTCATGCCAAAAGATCTCAGCTAACAATAAACATCAACAAAAATCATGATCTGTCAACTGCAAAAGGCCACCTGACTTGGATCTGTGCGCATCAATCGAAAATACATCACACAGTCCTAGACGCTTGGGAAGTGTTTGACTTGTTATTTTGTGATACGAAATCCAGCATATAGATCTCGTTTGCTGTAACATACAATAAACAATGACATCTATAAATTAAATAAAATGTAACCTATCAAAAATTATACCTAACATAAAACCTAAATATAAAACATTCACATTAATTTACAGAAACTAACAAAGATTCACTAAGATGTGTGAGTTGATTATGTGGCCAGTGATGTTAACTTACACAGGAAATTCTGGAACCAGTTTGAAGCCTGGATGACAATTACACAAACCACAGAGCAATGATGTGAATTAAGAATTTTCACACATTTTTATGGATGTTTGTGGTCTGGCTGCCTCAGTCTGACAGAAGCTTTGAACTGCATTAAATGGTCAGTGCAGATGCGGCCCAAGTCTACAGAGCAAGAAAACAGGAAACTTCTCCCTTTTCTATGGGGGCTGTCTCTAAAAACAATTCTGGGGAGACACACAACTCCCTCTTCCCGTGCAGTGCAGCACCCTTCTGGCTAAAACTCACTTGTGTGGGTGGCTGAGGATCCATAATGCTTACTGGTAAGTTGAAGGTTCCCACCATGACGTAGCTGTTGGCATTGCGGTCGTGGACAGTGGGGCCTGTCCCCCGGGGGCCGGCACCATTGTGAGGGACGGAAGACGAGCCAGCTCCAGATGGACCCCCTGAGGAAGGTGACTGTGTCTGGGGAGGTGCGCGTTCCACCAAGTGGATGACTTTGCCTCCGACATCTGCCCACAGAAACAGAACATTTGTGTGTGAAGGTTTTTTCATCAAAACAATTTCACTCTCACAACATACTACAAAAAAGAGGTTGCTCAAGAAAAAATGAATTCAAAACCAATCAGCAAGCTTTGTGCCAAAGTAGAGATTTTCAGCCTAGCTCTCTGTAAAATCCAAGCCTGTGAGTCCATGGCTGCAATGTTATATTCATTTCCATGGGAATAAGAAGTTACTTTTTGGGATAAATATTTGAAAATCAGACCCTTCCTCCAGCTAGGATAGTCAGTAACCATTTGGTTTAGATTCTGAAAACTAATCAGAGAACTCAGATATGGGGTGCAAGGAAGAGGGGAATAATACTTGATTTGAATATGTCCCCATTTTCCTTCCTCCTAAAGCACTGACTAGTAATTCCTTCCATTTCTGAATCAGCTGTCCCCTTTTCTGGTAAACAGCAGCAGTGCAGGGTTTGCAGGTGGGAAGTTTTGGATGGGACACAAGGGCCAGAGAACGGGGGGGGGGGGGGGGGGGGGGGGGGGGTGTATCTCACTCAGAAAGAGACACACACAAATGTAACACAGAGCTATGCAAGCATACAAACACGGGGCTCCAATTATTGGACTGCACTGAATTTTCATTTAGAAACAATGTAACTCTAGGTTGTTGTAGGTTTTTTGGGCTATTTGGCCATGTTCCATCTAGAAGCATTCTCTCCTAACATTTCACCTGTATCTATGCCAGGCACCCTCAGAGGTTGTTAGTATTTAACACTACTATTTAACTCAAGGACAAGAGAAGAATGTGGCATTTTTCAGAGTACTTCACACCTATAATTTCATCTTCAGCATACCAGCATCCCTTAGATCCTTTCCCAAGTTCACAATATCTCCCTCATCCAAACCCACAGATATCCCACTTACTGTATTCTTTCAATTTCTTATCATCTTGCAGGACTCTTCCTTGGTAGATGAGGCGCTGCTTCTCTGCAGGGATGTTGACTGAACTCGCAATATGTTCCTTGAATTCCTTCACAGTAATCTATAAAACAGAAATAAAGTTAAGAGGTCCAGCCAGAAATCCCTTCCTTCTTCTATCCCCACAAATTCGTTTGTCACTTTTTGGGACTCTCTGTTTCACTGGTCTAAGAAATTATCAGTGACTATCCCATTTTCAAGCATTTCCAGGCACAAAGGCCATTTTTGTACAATGCTTTCCAGAATCCAATGGCCAGTATGGCCCATAAAATTAGACACATGAATGCTCCAAAATACATAATCCAAAATCCCTACTGTGGGAGAGCCTTTATTAAGCCAACTTACAAGGCACAACAGTCTTCATCCAACTTTTAAAACTCCCTAGATTTTTTCATCAGTCAAAGATGGCAAAAAACAGGCAGAAGCTATAGGTGGAACATCAAGTCTACACGTTACTTTGCAGTGGGACAGAAGGCCAATTCCATAAAGCCACAAGAAAAAGCATACATTGCTTGGCTCAAAAATGGCTTTCCATCAGAACATGTCACTAATTTATTTTTCTATGCCAGGGCATCTCTTAACTTCCAAGAACTATTTCTTGAATGATTCTAGACAATGTATTCATTTGCACTTTTTGTCTTTTCCATATCTACTTCTCATTCAAACATTATTACAACTATTTCTCAACTCAGGCGATTCTCAAACAAAAACAAAAATTTCAGTCTTATGGTGTCACAACATTCTCTGTTCTGGTTTTTCACTACATTTATTCAGAAAGGGCCCTTTATCATCTGTCACTACAATTTCAACTGAAGCTGTCTTACCTCTTCTTCAACTGTGAAGGTCCTTGTCTGAGAGTCCAAGGTTTTCACCATCACTTCTAGGCTCTCTGGCTCTGCCATGGTGCCTGATCAAATCCTGCCTTCAATGCCTCTGTGAAAAGGAGTGAACTGGTAAGCTAAATTTGTAAGATTATTCCCAGCAAACTTACAGCTGTGAAAAATCAGTAAAAGTTCCTATTCCCAAACATATCAAAAGACATTGCTAAGCCTGTAAAGCATTTCTATGCACACATATCTATGTGATGAACAACTGGGGTTAAAAGGTTAACGAAGAGCATTTTAAGGAATATACTTAGGAGAGATGTCATGGGAAATACAGTTATCATTCAATTTCAAGGCAAGAGGGAGAAAAGAATCATTCTTTTGAATGCTGCATGCCAATTCAATCTCTTCAGACCAATTTTTGAAAAATTATTTTCTCATGAGCTGTGTGTATGATTAGTTCACACCAATGTTAACGATGGGAAAAGCTGCAAGGGGAAGTTATTAATATAAAGATAACGATTTTTTAGGTTGTTGGCAATGACTGCTTTTTATCCTTTCTTTCTACAAAAAATACTAAACCCTCCCCAAAAAACAAATGTTTTCCTTTAAAATGTGTATTTATCAAAATGACCCTAGAATTCTCTTGCCTGCATTTGCTGGCACCAGGAATAACCTGCTAATTGTACATTGTTTCTTCTACCAATCTGAGAATTGTACTGGAAATCCCCCTTTACATCATTGAAAAAGCTATTGACAACTTATTATTGTTGTTGTTGTTGTTGTTGTTGTATTTCTTACCCACCTCTCCCTGTAGCTCGAGGTGGGTTACAACACAATTAGCCTTGCAAGTCTACCACATAAACCAGCCCACTACCCTACAAATGTCCTATGCTAATCATCTGCTCTAAATGAAAGAATAAGTCAAACTCTGTAATGCTGGATCGGTTTTGTTACCTAGAGATAATTTTAACTAACTCCAGATGACCTGGCAGATGCTTGAGTCCAATACAACGTCCTTCCATGGCATAATAAACATACTCCCTGGTGTCAGTTCTAGACAGAATTGGGCCAGAGAAGGGGGGGGACAGATAATCACAATTCTACTCTGAGAAACCTACCACCCATTTTTAAGAAATAACCTTTCCAGTCCTATCACTTTACAACTAATTAATATATGAAATAACCAAAATGAGCCACTTTATGAGTTATCATAAAAAGCATACAGTGCTCATCTTTCCATTTTAAATAATAAGACTGCAAAATATACTCATTTTACCACCAGGAATCTTCAGTCCCCCATTTAATAAAATGAAAAATTAGACTGTAAATAACGAATTCCCTAGAAAACAAACAGAAAGCAGAAGACTTACTACTGAGTAACCATGCCTAGTGCCAGGGTTGTTAAGCCTTGTCTCTACCTAAGACACAGCTAATTTAGGATTTTCAGAGGCAAACTATTTCCGACAGACCGCTTAAGACTCTATTACCAGCTTCTGTTTCCTTGGTTGCCCGAACCATTTATAAACCTTGGGACACAACTCAGCTACCTATTATCTCTTCTAACAGAGATTACTGTTAAACAGAGATTGCCATTAAATCCCTGCTCAGCCATAAAGCTCACTGGGCATCCTTATAAAAGGCATGGCCTCCCAGCTTAAAACAAAATAGGGCACTTCTGTTTCCTGGAGAAGAGGCTGAGACCTTCCTCGCCACCATATTTTCACTACCCCAAATTATTTATTATTAGGTTTCTACAAGTTGCCATCCTTTAAATTTCTGAAATCTAAAATCAGAAATTGTACACATAACACATCTTTCTTTTGTGGTGGTTCAGTGTACATAAACTTTGGTTCATAACCAAAATTATTTAAAACATTATGTAAAGTTACTGTCAATATATGTGTATAACATGTATATGAAACAGATGAATTTCACATATAGATTTTATGCAAATATGGGTATTCCAAAATCTGAAAGCCAGAACACGTCTGGGTCCCAAGCATTTTGGATAAGGGATATTCAGTCCATATCTCTCTCCTCAATTTAGATTCAGATGAAGTTTTTCTTCTGTCATTAAGATATAACTAACAAAACAAATACAGTTACACAAATTTAAACAGCATACAACAAGAAAGAAAGGTTATTCTGTCTATGTCCTCGAAACAATGGCTGAACACAACAAATGTAAAAATTATCCTCCTCGTCAAACAACAGAAACAGATAACCCCTGCGACAATTCATAAATATCAAACGTTTGACCTGTTGCAAGAGTCAAAAGGAAAATGCAAATCCAACAAAGCTAGATATACATATGCTAAACTAGAGTGTGAGTGAGTATAAGTGTGTATATATATACACAGAAGACAATAGGCAGATCCCAGGGACTGATCTGAAATTTCATGGTTTAGGTTTTTTCTCTCTCATGAAGTGCTTCCAGGCTCACAAATTTCTGCTCCCATGTGATATGTCCACTAGGCTGTCAGCTTCCTGTCCTTTAATATCCAGCACTTACCACTATGCTCAATTTCATATTCTGATGCTCCTCCCTCTAATATCTACAGATGTGGAAACAAGCCTTCCCTGTGTTTTGTTTCCTTCTCCTTCACACCCCACACCAATTTATTAATCTATATCTCTATCTCAACCTTTCACTCAAAAGTGGAAATATGTATGTATGTCTGTGATTTCCAAGATGGCTCCCAAATCCAGAGCAGTGTATATACCATCAATGATGGAACTGGATCAAACTTGACACGCCGCCACCACCACCGGCAGCAGGCTAAAACCTTTTTATTCAGGCAGACTTAGAAAGAAGGTTTTTTAATATCGTCAGGAGCTGCTGTAATTTAATATGCCTTAAATGATAATTAATACATACATATTTGTATATTTTAAGTTGTATTGCAATGCTTTTAGTCATAAGCCTCCGTATGGAGAGAAAAAGCGGGATATAAATAATAATAATAATAATAATAATAATAATAATAATAATAATAATGTGAAGAGCACCCCCACTGATGAATGGCCATTGCCAACACCTGAGCCTCCAGGATCAGCGATGAATCCAGAATCACCCCCAAACTGCCCGCCTGTGTCTTCAGGCAGAGTGTAACCCCATCCAGCACAAGGTGAGTCCCTATACCATGAATGACCAGGAGTACCCCTATCTTGTGTGGATTTAGTTTCAGTTTGTTAGCCCTCATCCAGTCCATTACAGATGACAGGCACCTGTTTAGGACCAGGACGGCATCCTTAGCTTTGGGTGGAAAGGAGTAATAGAGTTGGGTGTCATCTGCATAGAAATGGCACCAAACTCTGAACAACCTCTCTCAGCGGTTTCATGTAAATGTTAAACAGCATGGGTGACAGAATAGATCCCTGAGGGACCCCAAAGGCCACCAGCCAGGGAGATTTATTTATTTATTATTTGGGCTTATATGCCACCACTCCCCTGGGGCTCGGAGCGGCTTACAAGGATGGCTAAAATCTAACACAATTTAAAAACAGCAATATCAAAAATCAAAGACCTGTCAAAATAGGTATGTCTTACAAGCCCTGTGGAAACCTGAGAAGTCCCGCAAGGCACAGGCTTCAGGTGGCAGAGTATTTCAGAGTGATGGTGCCACTGCTGTAAAGGCTCTGCGTCTGGTTGCTGTTAGACGCAAGGTCTTGACACTGGGAATTTCCAATAGATCTTGGTCCTCAGAACGGAGGGATCTCTGGGGTTGGTAGGGGGTGAGGCGGTCCCTCAGGTACATCGGCCCCAGACCATGCAAGGCCTTAAAGGTGAGTACCATCACTTTGAAAGTGATCCGGTGCTCAATTGGTAACCAATGCAGCTGCAGTAAGATTGGTGTTATGTGGCATCTCATCGGAATTCCCGCAAGAAGCCGAGCAGCTGCATTTTGTACCAACTTGAGCTTCCGGATCACCGACAGAGGAAGGCCAATGTAGAGGGCATTACAGTAGTCCAGTCTTGAGATGACCGTAGCCTGGATCACCGTAGCTAGGTCATCCCTGGACAGGTAGGGGGCCAGCCGTCTAGCCTGCCGCAGAGTTGAACAGGTATCCTCCAGCACCACTTTCTGCATTTGGTCCTCTAGGAAAGAACGGAGCCAATGTAAAATAGTGCTCCCTAGCCCCATCTCAGTTGAAAGGATACCACGGTTGATGGTACTGAACGTTGCTGAGAGGTCCATGTGAACCAACAGGGACACACTCCCTCTGTCTAGCTTTCTTTGTAGATCATCCGCTGAGTTGACCAATGCAGTTTCAGTTCTGTATCCAGACTGAAAGGGATCCAAAAAATTGGTATCTTCCAAGAAACTGTGGAGCTGAGAGACTACCACTCTCTCCAAAACCTTGCCCAGGATGGGGAGATTTCAAACTGGCCATTTATTATTTAATTTAGTAGGGTTCAGTGCTGGATGTTTTAGCAAAAGGTTTTACTACAACCCCTTTAAGGTGAGCTGGAAAAACAGTACCTCCTAATCTCATCCCAGCAAGACGAGCCAGAGGATGATGGGAGCTGCAGTTTACCCAAATCCTTATGCAATGACATTTTTCGAATGTTTATCCTTACCAAATGCCTAAGCTAGTTTATTGTATATATTGCTTCCCAACATTAGTTCTTCATTTTAGTCGCCCTCCCCTGGACACATTCCAGCTTGTCAATATCTCTCTTGAACTGTGGTGCCCAGAATTGGACACAATATTCCAGGTGTGGTCTAACCAAAGCAGAATAGAGGGGTAGCATGACTTCCCTAGATCTAGATACTATGCTCCTATTGATGCAGGCCAAAATCCCATTGGCTTTTTTTGCCGCCACATCACATTGTTGGCTCATGTGATGTGGTGGCAAAAAAAGCCAATGGGATTTTGGCCTGCATCAATAGGAGCATAGTGTCTAGGTCCAGGGAAGTAATGCTACCCCTCTATTCTGCTTTGGTTAGACCACACCTGGAATATTGTGTCCAATTCTGGGCACCACAATTCAAGAGAGATATTGACAAGCTGGAATGTGTCCAGAGGAGGGCAACAAAAATGATCAAGGGTCTGGAGAACAAGCCCTATGAGGAGCGGCTTAAGGAGCTGGGCATGTTTAGCCTGAAGAAGAGAAGGCTGAGAGGAGATATGATAGCCATGTATAAATATGTGAGAGGAAGCCACAGGGAGGAGGGAGCAAGCTTGTTTTCTGCTTCCCTGGAGACTAGGACGCAATGGAACAAGGGCTTCAAACTACAAGAAAGGAGATTCCATCTGAACATGAGGAAGAACTTCCTGACTGTGAGAGCCGTTCAGCAGTGGAACTCTCTGCCCCGGAGTGTGGTGGAGGCTCCTTCTTTGGAAGCTTTTAAACAGAGGCTGGATGGCCATCTGTCAGGGGTGATTTGAATGCAATATTCCTGCTTCTTGGCAGGGGGTTGGATTGGATGGCCCATGAGGTCTCTTCCAACTCTTTGATTCTATGATTCTATGACTGGGCCACAGTAACGCGTGGCAGGGGATGGCTAGTATACATATGGATGTGTGTGTGTGTGAATTATACCTATCTATATCTATGTCTGGATGTCTGTTTGTCAGGAGGGCATTGATTATGTTTTCCTGCCCTGGTGAAGGGAGTTGGACTGGATGGCCTTAAGGCAGCATTTCTCAACCTGGGGGTCGGGACCTTGTGGGGGGGGATGCAAAAGGGTGTCAGAAGGATTGCAAAAGACCACCAGAAAACACAGTATTTTCTGTTGGTCATGGGAGTTCAGTGTGGGAAGTTTGGCCCAATTCTATCGTTGGTGGGGTTCAGAATGCTCTTTGATTGTAGGTGAACAATAAATCCCAGCAACCACAACTCCCAAATGTCAAGGTCTATTTTCCTCAAACCCCATATTTGGGCATATGGAGTATTTGTGCCAAGTTTGGTCTGGATCCATCAATTGTTTCAGGATACAGTGCTCTTTAGATGTAGGTGAACTACAACTTCAAAACTCAAGGTCAATGCCCACCAAACACTTCCAGTACTTTCTGTGGATCATGGGAGCTCTGCGTGCCATGTTTGGTTCAGTTCCATCATTGGTGGAGTTTAGAATGCTCTCTGATTGCAGGTTAACTGTAAATCCCAGCAACTACAACTCCCAAATGAAAAACATCAATCCCTCCAATCTCATTCAAAGTATTCAAATTTGGGCATTCTATGATTCTATGATGGGAGCTGCAGTTTACCCAAATCCTTATGCAATGACTTTTCCCGAATGTTTATCCTTACCAAATGCCTAAGCTAGTTTATTGTATACATTGCCTCCCAACATTCGTTCTTCTCCTACCTGTCCCCCTCCTCTGTTCCCTTCCCGCCGAAGAGGAACTAATTCCAGCTGAAAAGCCTTGCTTAGGGCTCCCAAAAGAAGGAACTTCCGGTCAGACCAGGCATGGGCAAACATGGCTTGGACAGACGAACCTAGTTAGGAAAACCTGAACCACAGACCCATGAATAGGAACTAAACTCTACAGCCAAATCCCTTTCTATCTTCAAAGTGGGCTTCTTCTATTTCTGTTAGAAAGAACAGGAAGATCGGGAAATCCAAGCCCCAACTGCCCCCTCCAAAGGAGAGCACCAACAAGACCTTCTTTTACCAAAAAACGGAAGTGAATCCTATGGTTGTCTATCCTTTCCTAGCTCTAAGAACTCGCACCTCTCCAAAATGGCGGCGCTTCCGGTCCCTTCAGCGGCAACCACCCAGCGAGGGGGGGAGGGGAATGCCTTCGACGCCGCCGACTTCCCCGGCGCCTTCTCTTTCTCACGGGACGGCCCTTTCCTCCCCGAAGTCTTAGGAGGCTACGAAGCCGTCGCAAGGGGGCGAAACGGCCGCCTCCCTCGCGCCTCGGAGCGAGTTCCTCCTGGAAGTGTTGCCGTCGTCTCAGGCTCGCCCTCACTGCGCATGCGTGGCCAGCCCCTTGCTCAAGCCCCGTTTCCTACATATAGCTGTCTAAGTTAGTGCCTGCCTGGGATTGTTTCCCTATCATATCAATACCCGCCTCAAGATGTGATAGAGATCGTGGACATTTGACGATATTAAAAATATGGCCGGCATCCTATTATAAAGTCTTAAGGACTCGATATTATTCAAGCCCCGGTGGGGGGGGGGGAGGTTGGCAGAGCCACGCATGCGCACTGCTTACTCGTCGCAGGCTAGGCTTTTCCCCTCTTTGTGACGTCATTAACGCTCACGCCGGCGTGAAAGGAAAGCTGGCGAACAGAAAGGCGAGGAAGTCTTGAGCCGCCATGACACTTGAGGGCACGTCGCTTCCGCCATCTTTGTTTCGGTTCCCCGCACATTCAAGCGGACAGCGTTTCCGCTTCCGTTTTTGCTTCCTAGCCATTGTAGAGCCTGCAGAATGATAGCAGTTTCGACACTTTTTTGAATGCTACATACATTAAGTGGGATTTGCACTTTTATCAAATATTTATTAGCATTCTCTGCCAGAGAAGTCTAAACGCCTTGTAATAAAATAACTCCTAGAAGTAGCCTTGCAGCTGCAAAGCCTGGCTGTTGCTGCCTGGAGGAATCCCTTGTCTGGTAGGTTGTTGTGGTCAACTCTACATAGGGACCATATAAAGATCGATCACAGATCAAACGATACACCAATGCTGCCACCAATATTATACCTGGATCACTTAATGAATCCCACTACCTGCCAAATCAAATTATAAAGACTTACTTACTTTGAAAGGAACTATTCTTTTGTTTAACAGGGAGAAACATAAACTGTGTAAGTTTTTGTCTGTATAATGGGTGATGACTGAGAAATATTGAAACTGATGAACCAACCTGGACACAACATTTTATTTGAGAACACAGAAATGCTGGACCACTCTCACAACCACCATGTCAGACTACACAGAGAAGCCATTGAAATCCACAAACATGTGGACAATTTCAACAGAAAGGAAGAGACCATGAAAATGAACAAAATCTGGCTACCAGTATTAAAAAATTCTAAAATTGCAACAGCAAAAACAGCAGGGAGAAAAACAGGCAGGGACATCTAATCACCTTTCAAGAAGAGTTTGCTCCAGGCACAGTCAGCCCATTGTATGCTAATCAAGGTGGTCAGTTGAAAGATTCACACCTAGCCCAACTTACAAAAGCCCTTTGTCTCACCCTGGTCATTCCACAGATATATAAACCCCTTTTCTCCCAGTTCCAGCAGACCTCACCTCTGAGGATGCTTGCCATAGATGCAGGCGAAAAGTCAGGAGAAATGCCTCTAGAACATGGCCATATAGCCCGAAAAAACCCACAAGAACTGAATATTGAAACTGTTCTTCTGTTTGACTATGCTGCCAACTTTCTATTTTTAGTGCTGAGGGAAACAAGTAACACTTCTTTATGTTACAATGCTGTTTGATTTGGCTTTAGAGAGGTTATATTTTTATCTAATATATTCACACACAGTCTGTGGTAGTGTGAAAATAGAATAACAAGTTTATTAAACAGTCTTGAAAGTATTTCAAGACCTTTCCAGTTGTTTCTCTGCAATCCTGCTGTCATCTGGGAATGCAACATCGACAATCCATTGTTTTTTTTAACACAATTGTGAGGTCAGGAGCTTATTGGTTGCATTAAGTTGTACAGTGCTTGACTTCAGTTTCAGTCACAACTTCAAAACTGGGAATTTATATTTTCCCCTCAAAATAGATTCTTCCCTACAAATAGCCCAATACCTCAGGGACTGTCTAGCTATAGTCCTTCCTATGAAGTAACTATCTAGAATCTATTTCCAAGTTAGACTTCTTCCTCATTCTTCACTGCTATTCCTAATCTACAACTGCTCTCTCCTAACTATCCGCTCCAACTCCCTCCTCTAACACACACAAGCCTCCGGATTTTAAAATGCTACTTTTTTCCTGTCAGCTTTTCCAAAGGTCCGCCCCCTTTCTCTACACCAATCCCTCATGGGTCATCCAATCCAACCCCCTGCCAAGAAGCAGGGATATTGCATTCAAATCACCCCTGACAGATGGCCATCCAGCCTCTGTTTAAAAGCTTCCAAAGAAGGAGCCTCCACCACACTCCGGGGCAGAGAGTTCCACTGCTGAACGGCTCTCACAGTCAGGAAGTTCTTCCTCGTGTTCAGATGGAATCTCCTCTCTTGTAGTTTGAAGCCATTGCTCCCTCCTGACTTTAAATATACCTACAATGTAGAATGAATTCTATTTATCAGCAGTAAGCAACTCAGTGCTGTGGGAGTTGTAGTTTTACAAGATATTTTGCCTTTTCTGGCAAAGAGTGTTGGCATCTCACCAAATTGCAACTCCCATGGGATATTTTGGGGCTGCGAGTGTGTGACTCTCCCCAAGCCACTAAGTATGTTTCCATAGCCAAACAGGGAATTGAATCCTGCTTATGGGATCATGGCAGTTGTAGCATTGTAAGATATTTGTCCAATAATAATAATAATAATAATAAAACTTTATTTGTACCCCCCTACCATCTCCCCAAGGGACTCGGTGCGGCTTACATGAGGCCAAGCCACAACACATCAATAAACAAAAGCAATAACAATAATCATTACAAAACAGTTAAAATAAACTCAAAACAGAAAATATACAATAAGCAATAACAATAACAATATCAAAACATACAGCATTTAAAAACCTATGGCCGTGCCAAATTTAATAATTCAAGTTTAAAATTAAAAATGCTGGGCATGAACAAGGTAAGGCAAATTAGGATAGGATTTTCAAAGAAAGCTGAGGGCGCACAGACAATCCCAATCCTAAGTCAATATTAAAGTGCGTTTGAGGACATATTGCTAAGAGTATTCCTTATTCTGGGAAGGCACACTGGAACAACCATGTTTTCAGGCTCCTCCTAAAGACTGCCAGCAATGGGGCATGTCTGATGTCCTTAGGCAGTGAATTCCAGAGTCGAGGGGCCACCACCGAGAAGGCCCTCTCCCTCGTCCCCACCAATCACTCCTGCAATGGAGGTGGGAGCGTGAGCAGGGCCTCTACAGATGATCGAAGAGATCGTGTGGGTTCGCACACAGAAATGCAGTCACACAGGTAGGCGGGTCCCAAACCGTTCAGGACTTTGTAGGTAAGAACCTGCACTTTGAATTGGGACCGGTAAATGAACGGCAGCCCATGGAGCTCCTTAAACAGGAGGGTTGACTGCTCCCTGCAAGAAGCACCAGTTAGTACCCTGGCTGCCGCCCATTGTACCAGTTGAAATTTCCGTGCCGTTTTCAAGGGCAGCCCCAAGTAGAGTGCATTACAGTAATCCAAGGGTGCTGTTGCCTTCCCAAACTACAACTCCCAGAATTCTATAGCATTGAGCCATGACAGTTAAAGTGGCATCAAACTTCTTGCATTCTATATCCTAAGAGGGGGGAAAAAACAATCCCATATAGCCCGGAAAACCTACAACAACCCAATCCCTTTCTTACCCTTTCTGTGACCTTTTGTACCATTAAGCACATACTCTCCATCATCTCAAACACTGCTGGACTTGCTCACCCCTTTGTTTGCTCTCTGGCCCCTGGTTTTGCTTGCTAGGGTCTTTCGGGATTTTAGTTTCACTCACAGAATGGACTCTAGACCCCAGAGGACTGAACATTTTGCAAGCGTGGGACAAAGGTGAACCTCACCGGATGTTGGTAGAAGAGGCTGGTGCTCAGAACCAACTCCAGCGGTAACTCCCGCAATGGAAGGACTGTGGTACTATATTTTCTACCTGTACGGAGTCTTTGTGGATGCTTTCTCCTTGTGCAAAGACCCTGTGAAGTTGCAAGCAAGTGAACTAAACCGAGATCAGGTAACAAAAGACGTATGGGAGATGGGTACATGGATGGGTGCTGCTGAAATCAAATTGCTTCTTCAAATAACAAACATCTCAATAGATTGTTTATTATTGCATTTCCTATTGCATAGTACTATGCAACCTCTGCATCCACAGTGGATATGTTCCCAGGCTCCACTTGGATACACAGAATAATATTCATAATAGGGAACATTATTGCAATGAAGGACCTCCATACATTTGGGGGATGTCCATTTGATTGCAAAGATCTATAAACTGTTGTTAACTATAGAAGGACAGGTGAGGAAGTGTACGATCTAATGGACACAAAATATAGGTACGCAAATAAAATGAGGAATGAGTGAAGATCTGAATGAATATGACATTCCCTTTTGGAATTATTAGAAATAATTTTATAAGATTGCACTATATAACAAAATTTGAACAATTTTCCGTTCCTGATTTGAAAGTGTTATTTCCTGCTTAATTGTGTGGCACTTACTTTGAAAGTTGTTCTACTCCAGAAACTTCATTTTTGAGTCTGCCACAAATGACGTGGTATTGGTTGAGACTCTATGAGCTATTCATTGAAAAACTATAGCAAAATGTTCACATTCTCTATGATTTTATGATAGAACCAATTAGGAAATGACATTTATAACCCAGGAACAAAAATCATATTGCACGTATATAGATTGCATCTGACACCAGAAAAGCTTTTAAATATGTACATTGTGATCCGCCCTGAGTCCCCTTCGGGATGAGAAGGGGAGAATATAAATATTGTAAATAAATAAATAAATATGTTGCAGAGAAAGGTGTGAAACAGAACAATTTAAAGCAGCCACGGATAGTGAGATCTGGGCTGCAGACAGTGAAACCCAAGATGCAGATACTGAGCCCCATTAAGGAGGTGGACAGTACTAGTAGCAGGCCACCTGTGGATCCAAGTTCCTGGCAAGACAATGAAGCTAAACCCAATGTTCCCAATAAGGAAATCTGACCAAGTTGAAAAAGAAGCCACCGAAGTAGTTTATTCAAGTCAGCTGAAAAGGATGCCAGCTTGCGGTAAGCCGCAAAAGGAAGCCTGAGATCCTAGGCAATAGTAAAACAGACATTTTTATACAATTTGTCTGTTTGAATTTACTATTTCCATCCCACTTGGTCTAGCTTTGTCTGTATATATGAGCTTTGTGTGTGTATATGTGTATATATGTGGTTTTGCACATGCGTTGTAATGTAATTTTTATTTTTTTCCCCCTTTTTAAGTCTCTCCCACTGTGTTTTTCATTGTTTTTATGAGTGATGGTCACTTGTTGGCCTGATGGGTGTATTTGGTGTGAATTTGTTCAGTGGTTTTTGAGTTATGTTAATCCCACAAACAAACATCACCTCTGCAGGAGTCTACCGTATACCATGCAGCTGTGGACAAGTCTACATAGGGACCACCAAACGCAGCGTTGCCCAAACACGAATCAAGGAACATGAAAGGCACTGCAGACTACTTCAACCAGAGAAATCAGCCATAGCAGAGCACCTGATGAACCAGCCTGGACACAGCATATTATTTGAGAACACAGAAATGCTGGACCACTCTCACAACCACCATGTCAGACTACACAGAGAAGCCATTGAAATCCACAAGCATGTGGACAATTTCAACAGAAAGGAAGAGTCCATGAAAATGAACAAAATCTGGCTACCAGTATGGAAAAAACTCTAAAATTACAACAGCAAAACAGCAGAGAGGAAACAACCAGGCACATCTTAACACCTCTCAACAAAAGATTTTCCCAGGCTCAGCCAGGCCTTCAAATGCTAATGAAGGTGGTCAGTTGAAACATTCACACCTAGCTCCAGCAGAGAAGAGCTCCTTGCCCCACCCCAGTCATTCCACAGATATATAAACCCATTGTCCTAATTCCAACAGACCTCACTACCTCTGAGGATGCTTGCCATAGATGCAGGCGAAACGTCAGGAGAAATGCCTCTAGAACATGGCCCTAGAGCCCGAAAAAACCCACAAGAACCTAGTGATTCCAGCCATGAAAGCCTTCGACAATACATTGAACATTACATTTTTATTTATATAGATATATTTATTACTAGCCGTTCCCTGCCATGCGTTGCTGTGGCCCACGCTGTATGTATGTGTTTGTGTGTGTGTGTATGTGGCTTTGCACCTGCATTGTAATGTTTTTTTATTTTTTTGCCTTTTTAAGTCTCTTCTGCTGTGTTTTTCAGTTTTTTTATGAGTGATGGTCACTTGTTGGCCTGAGAAGTGTATTGTGTCAAAAATTGGTGTCAATTCATCCAGCGGGTTTTGAGTTATGTTAATCCCACAAACGAACGTTACATTTTTATTTATATAGATATATTTATTATATTCTGTACTGTAGTTGTCAGTATATACTGGGCCTCACTCACAGGGATGGTATTGCAGCTTCTGGCCACCAGGGGGAGCATACTTCCAAACAAAACTTTGCTAGGTCTTCCTTTCGGGGGGGGGGGGCCTTATGTTTAGCAATTGAGCAAAACCTCTATGTCTTATTTTGGGGGATGTCTTATTTTTGGGAAAACAGGGTATATAAAGACAAAGTGTGGTGTGGTTAGACCACACCTGGAATATTGTGTCCAATTCTGGGCACCACAATTCAAGAGAGATATTGACAAGCTGGAATGTGTCCAGAGGAGGGCGACTAAAATGATCAAGGGTCTGGAGAACAAGCCCTATGAGGAGCGGCTTAAGGAGCTGGGCATGTTTAGCCTGAAGAAGAGAAGGCTGAGAAGAGACATGATAGCCATGTATAAATATGTGAGAGGAAGCCACAGGGAGGAGGGAGCAAGCTTGTTTTCTGCTTCCCTGGAGACTAGGACGAACAATGGCTTCAAACTACAAGAGAGGAGATTCCATCTGAACATGAGGAAGAACTTCTGACTGTGAGAGCCGTTCAACAGTGGAACTCTCTGCCCCGGAGTGTGGTGGAGGCTCCTTCTTTGGAAGCTTTTAAACAGAGGCTGGATGGCCATCTGTCAGGGGTGATTTGAATGCAATATTCCTGCTTCTTGGCAGGGGGTTGGACTGGATGGCCCATGAGGTCTCTTCCAACTCTTTGATTCTATGATTCTAAAGGAAACCATGAGTATCGGTCCCCTGAATATGAGAATTGTACTACCATATAGTCCTATTCAGGAAATTAATAGTTTGTTAGCAAGAATGTAAGTTTTATATGCAGTCTTGGTACGATTTTCTCCATCTTTGCTGTTTTGACTTTGGTATGTAGCATATAAACTGGTCCCAAGAGTAACCCAAATGTCTTTCCTTTGCAGTACCTTGGCAGATGGCTTTTCGTAGCCGCTGCTTCATCGTCCCCTTCCTCATTGAGGACATTTACCAGCCTGGACAGCACTCTATTTAGCATGACACAGAGCAACAACTCAGAGCAGCTGCAACTGCGGGCGGCCATCCGGTTGTAAGTGTCCTTCCCTCCAAACCACCTGTCTGCTACTTCAAAATGCAAGCTGCCTTTTCATGGCCCTCCAGCCATCCGAAGATAAGCAAGGGCTGCATGTGTCCCTTCAAAAGTGGGAAAACTGCAAATTAAAAAAGGCTGGATTGTTTTAACCTGAGAGAAAGTAAAAAACAAAAAGACTTTGTTTGCATGTAACCAGTTTTTCACTTTCTTATATTTTGAACACTGTAATATAATAATATAATAATAAATAATAATAAAATTTTATTTGTACCCCGCTACCATCTCCCCAAGGGACTCGGTGCGGCTTACATGAGGCCAAGCCCACAATACAACAATAAACAATAACAACAATAATACAAAACAATAAATAAACTCATAAGCAACAATAAGCAATAAACATTAACAGTAACACGACGTGTTTAAAAACCTATGGCTGGGCCAAATGTAATAATTAAACATTTAAAAAAATAATGCTTGGCATGACAAGGTGACATGTAACTGAGATAGAAGTTTTGGAGAGGGATGAAATGTGCAGACAATCTTAAATCACTAATAAAGAGCATTTAGGGACGTATTGCTAGAAGTTTCCTTATTCTGGGAAGGCACACTGAAACAACCACGTTTTCAGGCTCCTCCTAAAGACTGCCACAGTTGGGGCTTGGCTAACGTCCTTGGGGAGTGAGTTCCAGAGTCGAGGGGCCACCACCGAGAAGGCTCTCTCCCTCGTCCCCACCAATCGGGTTTGCGATGGTGGTGGGAGCGTGAGCAGGGCCTCTCCAGATGATCGAAGAGATCGTGTGGGTTCGTACACAGATGCAGTCATGCAAGTAGGCAGGTCCCAAACCATTTAGGGCTTTGTAGGTAAGCACCTGCACCTTGAATTGGGACTGGTAAATGAACTGCAGCCAATGGAGCTCCTGTAAGGAGCTCCAGTTAACAACCTGGCCGCCACTCATTGAACCAGTTGAAATTTCCCGGCCATTTTCAAGGGTAGCCCCACGTAGAGTGCATTACAGTAGTCCAATCTGGAGGTGACTAAGGCATGGCAGTTTGTTCCTCCCCTCCCATTTTACCACCAATATACATGCAATAATATTTTAAAAAATATTTTAGTTTAGGATGTGCATGGTTAGTTTATATGCAGTGGGGTTTTGGTTAACTGGAATTCAAGCAAGCAGAACTCTCAGGCAACTGGCAGAAAAACAAAGAAATACTACTGCATTTCCAAAATTGTTTTTATAGTACACTAAAACTGTGTTATAGTCAGTTAGGTTGGTCTTGATTTGCTTTTAATTACAGTATTTCAGTATTAATATCAAGCCAATACAGAATTTATGATTATGGCATAGTATTAAACCTATTTTTAATAATAACTCTCTAGCAACCAAAAACTACAGTTATTCAGTATCTATCAATCATCATGGGTGCTGGTTATCTTCGAGTCTACTGTGTTATATTGTTGCACTCCAGAACAGGAATAACCTTCTGACTTTAAAACACCACACATTTAATGTATTGTCGAAGGCTTTCATGGCTGGAATCACTGGGTTGTTGTAGGTTTTTCGGGCTATATGGCCATGGTCTAGAGACATTCTCTCCTGATGTTTCGCCTGCATCTATGGCAAGCATCCTCAGACCTCACTACCTCTGAGGACGCTTGCCATAGATGCAGGTGAAACGTCAGGAGAGAATGCCTCTAGACCATGGCCATATAGCCCGAAAAAACCTACAACAACCCACCACACATTTAGTAGGAAAACAATCCTTTTTTATTGAAGATAAGTAAAAAAAATAGCACAGTAAAATTATGCTTTAAGAAAATAGATAAGTCCAATAAGATAGGAAGATAAGCAGGTATACAGTATTTCAAGGCAGGGTTCAGCAAAGTTCAAAAGCAAAATGCAGACTTTTGTAATCAAATCCAAATCGCCAGGAAAACATTAATCCACAGCATGAGTATATAATCCCAAGAGGCAAAGAGTCAAACCATGAACATGAAATCATTAACATGAATCTTCCAAGCAAGGCTTCCATGGAACAAGAACAAGACTTATCAGGGTTCTGAAACGATGCTTCATCTGATCATTCTTTTCCTGGAGAGAACTTTATACCCCAACACCAGCTTTCCTTGACTGCCTCTCACCCTTATCTCTCAAAGCCTAGCGGATCAGCAAAGGCCTTGGCTGAGCTGTCTGTTCCGGCTAAATTCCAGCCGTCTGTCTATCTATCTGTTCATTAATTCTTCCACGTGTCAAGTTGTTTTCAAACCCCAAATCTTGGGGGCTCTCTGGGTCAGGGAGTAAACTATCATCCCTATACCCTGTAGAAACATTCTTATGGGAAATTGCACTTTGAACCGGTGTCCCTATGCCATTTTCTGCATTAATATCACTGACCAAATCATCTCCATCTTGACTCTCAGTGGCATCATTCCCCACATCAGAAGCACCTTGATCCTGAAACACAAACACAGGCTGAACTCCAACATATATTAGCTAGTATATGTGTTAGTTAGTATGTGCTGTATGTTAGTTAAGTAGTTAGTTAGCTAAAGGCAGGGGGTCCTCAAACGAAGGCCCGGGGGCCGAATGCGGCTCTCCAAGGTTATTTACCCGGCCCTCGCTTAGGGTCAACCTAAGTCTGTAATGACTTGAAAGCACACAACAACAACAATCCTATCTCATCAGCCAAAAGCAGGCCCACACTTCCCATTGAGATACTAATAAATTTATATTTTTAAAATTGTTCTTTATTTTAATTGTTGTGTTTTTAAGTGTTTTTTCACTACAAATAAGATATGTGCAGTGTGCATAGGAATTCATTCTTTTTTTTTCTTTCAAATTATAATCCGGCCCTCCAATAGTTTGAGGGACTGTGACCTGGCCCTCTGCTTAAAAAGTTTGAGGATCCCTGGCTAAAGGCATATAAACAGGTAAAGGTTTCCCCTGACATTAAGTCTAGTCATGTCCAACTCTGGAGGTTGGTGCTCATCTTCATTTCTATGCCAAAGAGCTGACATTATCCGTAGACACCTCCAAGGTCATGTGGCCAGCATGACTGCATGGAGCACCGTTACCTTCCTGCCAAAGCGGTACCTATTGATCTACTCACATTTGCAAGTTTTTGAACTGCTAGGTTGGCAGAAACTAGGCCTAACAGCGGGCGCTCACCCCGTTCCCTGGATTCGAACCATCAACCTTTAAGCACCTCAGCGGTTTAACCACTGTGCCATATATGTGTTGTGAAATGTAGATGTATTTCTGAGAAGTGTGCTTACGCTATGTAAAATTTCCTCTTTTGGAGTATGTTGGTATGCAATCAAATACAGAATAAAAAATTATCAACAGGGTCAGGGAGAGTGGCTTTGGGGAAAGTCCTTGATGTTATCTTAGTCCTTTTATGGAGCTCAACCCGATAAGGATAGATTTTAGATGTCAACTTCCTCCCCTAGGAACGGCAGCCAAAATACAAAATGCCTGAGGAATGTGGTCTAATTCACTCTTTGGGCCAAGGTTGTTTCCATGTTAGGGACCATAAATTCCAGGTTGAGTCCAGGGAGCTTTGATCCTGTACCTTATTTGCTATATCCTGGGCCTCCCTTATACAGCTATCTAGTAATGATGGGTCTTGCAATTCAACATAATTGGAAGCTACCTAAGCCCTCCAGTCTGATGAGGATGGGAGAAATAGTCCGAAACATTGGTGAAGTCAATAGTAAGGCAGTCATATCCATTCTCCTGCAGCTCTATATACATTGGTTTTTCCAGGTTTTTTCCTGCTTGTTATTCATCCACACATAACTTTGTTCTCTGTATCTTTCTTTCCCAGGAAGACAGGCCAGTGTGTTCCCAAATCATGGGTTTACTTGCTTAAGGAAGGGAGTGCTGATCTGGCAACAGAAGGTGAGAGAAAAATAAATCAGTTCAGCCAATAATGTGACTGGTGAAACTTATTATACAGTTCCAAAACATAGCATTCACAAAACAGTATTATATGCATTTGGTACAGTCATTCAAAAAAGTATCAACGCCGTATGTTCTTGCGTAGAGTTGAACATAAATCCGTAGTCCACGACCAGTTTCGGCTTCACTCCAGGCCTTCCTCTGGTAGACTAAAATTATATATATATATATCAATATTTGCTACAAATAAGTTCATTGAAAATCATGTACATAAACACATATAAAGATACATATAAGAATACTAACAGAGTTATGAACTTGATACTTATCATATACATCAATGTTTGTTGTGAATTCTTCCATTCAGCATCATATATTTCAACATTTTTAAAGATACTTACAAGGTTATAAACTTGGTACTTCTTCCCCTCCTGCAGGTCGGCCCCACATGAAGACAGAACTGTTCTCAGCCAAGTGTCCGGACTCCATCATTGTCCAGGAAACGGACCAAGACTATCATAGAATCCTTTTGTATTGTGAGTACTTTGCCCAGATTCCTGGATTTAGTTGAAAGGTGAAAAGTGATATTTGAGAGGATGTGACAAAGCTTGAAAGAGATTACCCTTTTTGGATAGCAACCATGCAGAATCTTGTACTCAGAATGGTCACTAGGAATCATCACCCCAGAAATAAAATTTCTAAACTTTGGATAGTGATGTTGGGACCCAACTATTCCCAGTGGACTTCTTGGATTTGGTGATACATACCAACATATTCAACGATTTGTCTGATTTCACAAATTAAGCAGGGTCTGGATTGACTTGCACATGAATGTGATACCATCAGGATTTGCAAAATCTGAAACATCTGACAATATTTATTTATTTTATGTCAAAAGCATTGCATAAATCTATATAAATAAAAATGTAATGTTTGTTTGTGGGATTAACATAACTCAGAAACCACTGGACGAATTGCCGCCAAATTTTGACACAATACACCTAACAGTCCAACGAGTGTTCATCACCCTTAAAAATACAAAAACAAAACAAAAACAACCCAGCAGAATGGACTTAAAAACCCCAAAAATACATCATACACACACACACACACACACTCATATACACATGCACACATATATACACATATGTATATATATACCCAAGCACACACAAATATACACACACATACATCTACATACACACATGTATACATATACACATGCACATACAAATATACACATGCACACATACACACACACATATATAAACACAAATATGCATATAAGCAAGCACACACATATACACAATATACATATACACATATAAACACACAAATATAAAAACACTTATAAACACATCTACACACACATATATGCACACACATATATACATATACATATATATATATATATATATATATATATATATATATATATAGGTATATATGTGTGCACATATGTGTGTGTGTAGATGTGTTTATAAGTGTGTTGAAAACACACATATATACACAGATACACAAATATATACACACACACAAAACACATATATACAGACTGGGCCACAGCAACACATGGCAGGGGATGGCTTATATATATAGGTATATATGTGTGCGCATATGTGTGTGTGTAGATTTGTTTATAAGTGTGTTGCAAACACACATATATACACAGATACACAATATATACACACACACAAAACACATATATACAGACTGGGCCACAGCAACACGTGGCAGGGGATGGCTAGTATGTGTGTGTGTGTATATATATATATATATATATATATATATTTTTGCATTTATATTCATTTCATTTCATTAAAAAAAATCTCTACAATTCATATAATTACTTCTTCTCCTTCCCCCGTTGTGCTACCCCTTGTTCTCCCCATCACCAGAGTTCTTCTTTTCTTTATGCTCCCATCAGACCGTCATTTCTTTTGGTGAGGGTTGGTTCCCATCTTCTTTCCTTAATGTTTCTTCAATAAATATTTTCCATATACTTTCAAAATCATTATTCTTCCTTAGGCGTTTTTTAACTTTTATATTGCATGTTAGTTTATCATTTATTGCTAACTAGCCATCCCCTGCCACACATTGCTGTGGCCCAGTCTGTGTATATGTGTTTTGTGTATATTTATTTATTTATTTATTATTCAAACATATATGCCGCCACTCCCCTAGGGCTCGGAGCGGCTTACAAGAACAGACTAAAATCTAAAACACTTTTTTAAAAAACCAGCAGTATCAAAGATCAAAAGTGTATATATTTGTGTATATGTATATATTTGTGGTTTTGTGCATGCATTAAAATGTATTTTTTCATAATTTTTTTGGCTTTTTAAGTTCCTTCTGCTGTGTTTTTCAGTGTTTTTATGAGTGATGGTCACTCGTTGGCCTGATAGGTATATTGTCTCCAAATTTGGTGTCAATTGATCCAGTGGTTTTTGAGTTACGTTAATCCCACAAATGAACATTACATTTTTATTTATATAGATTTCCAGATTTCCCTGTACTATTCTTCTGTCTTAATTTCCACCTCTCCCTTCCAATAAATCATTATAAAATTGATAAAAATAGGAGCACAAGCAGCTAAATAATTTTTGACCAAAAACGGGCAACAGCAACTGCATTGTCTGTAGCCTTAAACAATTTTTCCTCTGTGCGTGAGGCAGGGCATAGTGGGCAAGCATACAGATGCAGAGTTGTTTGTTCTGCTCCACAGTCATACAAGGTGGAGGATTCTTCTAGGTCGTGCCATTTTGCCAGGTTGTCTTTTGATCTGCCCACTCCGCTTCTGACTCTGTTGACAATACAGAGGTAAAAGGAACAGTGGTCTGACTTGATATAAAGTAACTTCCTCTGTATTGTCGAAGGCTTTCATGGCCGGAATCACTGGGTTGTTGTAGGTTTTTCCGGGCTATATGGCCATGTTCTAGAGGCATTTTCTTCTGACATTTCGCCTGCATCTATGGCAAGCATCCTAGGATGCTTGCCATAGATGCAGGCGAAACGTCAGGAGAAAATGTCTCTGGAACATGGCCATATAGCCCGGAAAAAACTACAACAAACCAGTAGCTTCCTCTGTTTGGTTTGAGCTGGGACTCCTTTTCCTCTCCAGCTCGTGTCCTCCATCCTGCTGAAGAATGCATTGAGGATTTCAAGGACAAGGCATCCTGCCTTGGAATGGAGGAATTCCTTCTTATCCCAAGGACCCAAGGTAGGTATTAGTAAATTAGCAGAAATGATGGACTCTCTTTCTCTGGATATCTGCAAAAAGAGTTACCTGCTGGTGATATTCTAGCTGGATTTCCTGCATTGGGTTGGGCTTCACGGCCCATGAGACCTCTTCTAAAACTAGGATTCTGTAACATGTCCCACTTTTGATTTTGTGAAATTTCTGGCTATTCACTCAGCATAGCTGGTGGCTATTAATTCCAGAGTTTACTTCACACTCTAACATAGATCTCCAAGGCACTCAAGCTCTCGAGAGCAGTACGTGTGAAAAAGATCTTGGAGTCCTCGTGGACAACAAGTTAAACATGAGCCAACAACGTGATGCGGCGGCAAAAAAAGCCAATGGGATTATGGCCTGCATCAATAGGAGTATAGAGTCTAGATCCAGGGAAGTCATGCTACCCCTCTATTCTGTTTTGATTAGGTCACATCTGCCCTATGAGGAGCGGCTTAAAGAGTTGGGCATGTTTAGCCTGAAGATGAGAAGGCTGAGAGGAGACATGATAGCCATGTATAAATACATGAGAGGAAGTCATAGGGAGGAGGGAGAGAACTTGTTTTCTGCTGCCCTGGAGACTAGGATGCAATGGAACAATGGCTTCAAACTACAAGAAAGGAGATTCCATCTGAACATTAGGGAGACCTTCCTGACTGTTCAGCAGTGGAACTCTCTGCCCTGAAGTGTGGTAGAGGCTCCTTCTTTGGAAGCTTTTAAACAGAGGTTGGATGGCCATCTGTCGGGAGTGCTTTGAATGCAATATTCCTGCTTCTTGGAAGGAGTTGAACTGGATGGCCCACGAAGTCTCTTCCAACTCTATGATTCTATTATTCTTTGGGGAGATCAATGCAGGCAAAACGTAAGGGAGAATGCTTCTGGAACATGACCATACCACCTGGAAAACTTACAGCAGCCCAGTGATTCTGGCCATGACAGCTTTCGCCAACAATAATAATTGCACAATATTGCTCTTCAACACGATAATGTGTAACCCTCTGGTAGCAGAGATTTATGCTCCGCAGTCCTGATGCAGAAACATGGCCAGTGTTTTCTAGGCACGTGTCTAAATATTGTGTAAATCAGCGCTCTTTCTCCTTAGTTACCTGGACTGTTGTTCTGCAAACACTCGTATGAGGAGGGCTAAATATAGGATGTGAACTTCTAGTTATTCCTTTGAAGGATTCATGTGAACTACAAGGGCCTGTCCAGCAACAGAGTCACTGATATTGAGAGAGAAAGCTAAAAGAAAGGTTTCTTGTATTGTTGAAGGCTTTCATGGCTGGAATCACTGGGTTGTAGGTTTTTTCAGGCTATATGGCCATGTTGTAGAGGCATTCTCTCCTGACGTTTCACTTGCATCTATGGCAAGCATCCTCAGAAGTAGTGAGGTCTATTGGACCTAGGAAAATGGGTTTATATATCTGTGTAATGACCAGGGTGGGGCAAAGAACTCTTGTCTGTTGGAGCTAGGTGTGAATGTTTCAACTGACCACCTTGATTAGTATTTGATGGCCTGGCAGTGCCTGGAGCAATCTTTTGCTGACAGGGGGGTGTTGGGAGTTGTAGTCCTCCCTAGGAATTTCTCCATTCTCTAGCTAGAATATTTTGGAGACTGTGTTGTCGAAGGCTTTCATGGCTGGAAGGCTATAAAAATGTGAACAGCGATGTGGCATCACAGTATTGCGGCTCATTTTGTCTCTTCCTCCCAACAACTGAGTTGCAAGCTCAGGTTTGTGGGGGTTGGTAAATTTGAATAAACAGAAACATTGCCACAGTTTCTGAACCATTATATACCCTGCAGTATAATAAAGTGTCAATCAGGCTTGTGTAACAAGTAACAATATCTTTACTTCCATTCAAAAGATCAAACAGGGCAACAATATATACAGCAGTCTCCCTGAATTCACACAGAGAACAGAGGGAATGAACAATCCCTTTTAAATAGTCTTTAAAATATGCTTCACGGCTTAAAATGATCAGGCTTCAGGGAGCTGGCAGGCATTTCCTTCCTATTTCCGGTCAGCAATCTCTTCACTCTCCAAAGTGAAAGTGGCAGTTAAAACCGTTTGTCTCTCCAGCAAGCCAGCTACAGCAGCCAATCAGAACTCCTCCCCCTGGCATGCTCAGCCAGTCAGCTGCCAAAGCATGTCTTTCCAGTCAACCCACCACATCATGGTGTCTCTTTTCAAATCCTGACAAAGTTCACTTATAAATTCCAAAGGCCAGTCATATATCTTATGTAAAAAACACACACACACAAATCAATATCACATCAAAATCTTCATATGCATTTGTCCTCTCTCCTGTCTTTTTCAGAGTCTTGTGAATTCCAAGATGTTTGACCTTCGAACTTATAGGTAAGAAAAATAATCCTTCCCCTCACCCCCTCCTTTCTATTCATACTGGGTTGCAAAACAAGCTCCACCTCAGTGTTTGTTGCCCAGAGCAACGGTCATATAGCCACACTGTAGAATGAATGCAGTTTGGAACCACTTTAACTGCTATGGCTCATTGTTATGAAATACTGGGGGTTATATTTTACTAGAAATTACTAAAGACCAAGGAAAGGAAAGGAGAAAAGGGAAAGGAAAGAAGAAAGGAAAGGTGAAATGAAAGGGGGAAGAAAAGGAAAAGAAAGAGGAAAGGAAAGGAAAGAAGAAAGGAATGGAGAAAAGAAAGGAAAGGAGAAAAGAAATGAAAGGAGAAAGGAAAGGGGAAGAAAAGGAGAAAGGAAAGAAAAGGAGAAAGGAAAGAAGAAAGGAGAAAGGAAAGGAGAGGGGAAAAGAAAGGAAAGGAGAAAGGAAAGGGGGAAGAAAAGGAGAAAGGAAAGGAAATGAGAAAGGGAAGGAGAAAAGAAGGGAAAGGAGAAAGGAAAGGGGGAAGAAAAGGAGAAAGGAAAAGAGAAAGGAAAGGAAATTGTTTTCTGCTTCCTTGGAGACTAGGACGCGGAACAATGGCTTCAAACTACAAGAGAGGAGATTCCATCTGAACATGAGGAAGAACTTCCAGACTGTGAGAGCCGTTCAGCAGTGGAACTCTCTGCCCCAGAGTGTGGTGGAGGCTCCTTCTTTGGAGGATTTTAAACAGGGGCTGGATGGCCATCTGTCAGGGGTGATTTGAATGCAATATTCCTGCTTCTTGGCAGGGGGTTGGGACTGGATGGCCCATGAGGTCTCTTCCAACTCTTTGATTCTATGAAATGAGAAAGGGAAGGAGAAAGGAAGGGAAAGGAGAAAGGAAAAGGGGAAGAAAAGGAGAAAGGAAAGGAAATGAGAAAGGAAAGGAGAAAGGAAGGGAAAGGAGAAAGGAAAGGAAAGGAGAAAGGAAAGGAAAGGGGAAAGGAAAGGAAAGGAAAGGAGAAAGGAGAGGAAAGAAGAAAGGAAAGGAAAGGAGTTAACAGAGCAAGGGCATCACTTTGAAGGCAGACTTTGGGCGACTCTTGGGTGTGTTTTTTGTGATCCTGCTCTCAGTTCAAGTCAGGGCAGCAATGAGGTCCAACAGGCCTAGCAAGTATGTCAGAGGAACTGAAGCTGAACCAGATAATAAAATCGTGCAATGTAGCTCAAGGCTTCACAGAAGTAAAGGAAGTGCTTGGGGTGGTGGAAATTATGCACAAAATCCCCATCATCTCCCTCAGATGGGATAGCCATTGATATTGGACTAAGAGTTGCAGTCCAAAAAGTAAATTTTTACAATTTTCCTTTGTCAAATTGGTTGATGGCGCAAAGATTATGTAGAATACATTGCTGTGTATATCTCAGTATAAAAAAGAAAGAAGAGAGAGGGAGGGAAGAAAGAAGAGTGTGGTGGTATCTTTAAGATTATGATTTATTTCAGCATGAGTGTTTGTGAAATACACACAGTCATCCCTCCATATTTGAAGTTTTGACTTTTGCAGATTTGATTATTATAGACTAGATCTAAAATGTTCTTTATGTTGTTGTTCATTTGTTCAGTCGCTTCCGACTCTTTGTGACCTCATGGACCAGCCAATGCCAGAGCTCCCTGTCGGCTGTGACCACCCCCAGCTCCTTCAGAGTCAAGCCAGTCACTTTATTCTTTATAGCAATCCCTAGTTTCTCCAATGTGATTCCATGGCCAGCTTTTTCCAATCATGCTGCCTTTAAGGACCTAGAGATTTCTAGAGAGAATACCTCGAGGATAGAGTTGTGCTAGAAAAAGCTATTATGATTATGATTATGATTATGATTATTATTTGAAACACAACAAAATGAGTCCACAGCAGACACTCTGCTGGCTGTTGAATTGGATCACATGTTGGGCAATTCCCAAGTGTCTAGGACTGTGCGATGTATCGGCGAATAATGCATGCAGATCCCAGTAAGGTGGGCTTCCGTAGCTGGCAGATGGTAATCTTGTCAGCGCTGATTGTGTTTAAGTGCAGGCCAAGGTCTTTAGGCACTGCACCCAGTGTACCAGTCACCACTGGGACCACATTGACTGGTTTGTGCCAGAGCCTTTGCAGTTCAATCTTTAAATCCTCATATAGTGTCAGCTTTTCCAGTTGTTTCTCTGCAATCCTGCTGTCACCTGGGATTGCGACATTGACGATCCATACTTTATTTTTTAACACGATTGTGAGGTCACGAGTATTATGCTCCAAAACTCTGTSTGAATCAGGAAGTCCCAGAGGAGTTTGGCGTGTTCATTCTCTGTAACTTTTTCCGGCTTGTGATCCCACCAGTTCTTTGTCACAGGCAGATGGTGTTTGTGGCACAAGTTCCAATGAATCATCTGAGCAACGGTGTTATGCCTCTGCTTGTAGTCTGTCTGCGCAATCTTCTCGCAGCAGCTGAGGATGTGATCTATTGTTTCATCTGCTTCCTTGCAGAGTCTACACTTGGGATCTGTTGTCAACTTTTCAATTCTATTATTATTATTATTATTATTATTATTATTATTAWTAWTAATAATAATAATAATAATATTCCYMTCTCACTTAAAAAGAGACACAAAGTRGCCAACAACAAAAGGGGCCACTTTGACCAGGGACCATTTTGACCATGGGCCACTTGACTAGGGACCACTTTGACCAGGGACCACTCTCCAACATTACTACCGAAAGGGTTATAAATCAGTGTTTGGTCAACTTTAGATTCGGTTTGGGGTTCTGATTCAGAACATTGCATTGGATAGACAGGGAAGGAGTGGCAGGTGGCATGAAAGCAAAATAAAATAAAATAAAAAAGAGGAAAGAGGCTCACGGACCAGATTTTCATTCTTGCAACCCACTGGTGGTCCACAGCCCACAGGTTAAGAACCACTGCTTTAGGAGTACAACTCCCAGAATCTCCCATACAGCATGCCGACTTGGGAGTTGTAGTTATTTTTCCAGGTTCTGAGCAGCAGTCCTACACTTGATCTCATTAATCACTTGGCTAGCCCAACAGTTTGGTCAAAAGACTAAGAAAGCTAAGTCTTATGGGTGTTTACCAAAGTGGCCCCATCTTTACTGCCATATAATGCAGTCTACACTGAACATGTAATGCAGTTAAACTGCTTTATGTGGCATCGTAAATAAGGTCTTTGTCATTCTTTAGCTCCTGGACAGAAGTAATGTCCAATGACCCTCTAATCATGGTTAGAAGACTAAGAGCCTCTTGCTTGTTGCTTCCCCATCATTTGTGATTTCTCTCCCCTCTTTTTCCTTTTGAGGGAGCCAGAGCTCAGAATTACATCTTCAATTAATGCTAATGTTACTACAGTTCTCCCTAAATCTCTTTGCACGTGTCCTCAAATTGCCTGTTGACATCAAACCCATTAATTTCTTATGGTTTTCTTCAACACAATGTCCTCAGAAGTGTTTTTTGCCAGCTTTTTCATCTGAAATTCACCATTGGCCTCCCATCCATGTACTAACCTTGCTTGGCTTCCAAAATCAGGTGAAAATCTGGTGCTTTTAGGATATTTCATAGAATCATAAAGTTGGAAGAGACCTCGTGGGCCATCCAGTCAAACTCCTATTTTGTTTCTGCTCCTTTCACACCGCCTGCCACTCCTTCCCTGTCGCTGACCATAGCATTTGTTCTGTATCAGAAACTAGAACTGATGTGGTCTATCCAATGCAATTTTCTGAATCAGCACCCCAAACTGAATCTAAAGTTGACCAAAAACTGATTCATAACCCTTTTGGTTCTAATGTTTGAGAGTGGTCCCTGGTTTGGGCTCCAAGCCAACTTCTTCCCAAGTTTGGAAACTCTTACCCAAAACCAGCCATGGTTAACCTTTCAATAAATGCAGAAGTAACACTGCACCATTGTTTGGTATGCAAAAGAAAGTTACCGACAATCACAAGAAGGAAAGGACACAACACAAAACTGCAGTGTGTTCTTAATCTCACTGAGAAAGGAATCCTCTGTCTTCCAGAATCTCCTGACCAGATCCTATTTTCCACTGGTGTTAACATCCTATGAAACACAAAATCTCATTTTCTTTCATATTACTCTTCCCCGCCCCCATGCATTTCCTCTTTCATGTCTTTCTTGTTCTCTCATCAGCTCCAGCTCCGTTGTGGCAGGAATTAATCATCCATGGGAAGTTGAGTTGCCTCGTTTTCTCGGAGAGCGGATTTCTTCACACGTCTTGTCAAGTTAAATAAAATTCCTTGCATTGTGCTTAGCTTTGCCTCTCTCCCAAACTGGAAGGGATAGGCCAATGAATGACATCAGAGGCCAAGAATGGTGACATTGATGGAGGGTGTTGGTGGCTGAGAATCACAAGATTAGAGCAATCACTGCTTGAAACACAAAGTTGCTTGGAATGATTATAATAAAATAGATCTTTGCACATTCCAGTGTTAAATGACCTGATCTGGCCTTTGAAGGTTATGTCTGCAATGTAGAATGAATGCCAGTTTGACACCACTTTAACTGCTATGGCTCAGAAAGTTTTGTGTGTGTGTGTGTCAGGAGTGAGTTCAGAAACTGCAAGTCACTACTGGTGTGAGAGAATTGGCAGTCTGCAAGGAGGTTGCCCAGGGAATGCCCAGATGTTTGATCGTTTACCATCCTGTGGGAGGCTTCTCTAATGTTCCTGCATGGGAAGCTAGAGCTCAGACAGAAGCTCACACCACTCCTCAGATTTGAACTGCCAATCTGTTGGTCAGCAGTCCTGCTCGCAAAAGGGTTTAATCCATTGTGTCACCAGGAGCTCCTAAAAAGCTATTAGGTTCTTTGTAGTTTTGGAAGACACCAGTACTCCTTGGAAGAGAAGGCTAAAGGCCTTGCAAAACTGCCATGGCTCAGTACTATGTAATTCTGTGAGTTGCAGTTTCGCAAGGTATTTAGCCTTCTCTGCCAAAGAGAGCTGGTGCCTCACCAAACTACAGATCCCAAGATTCCATAGCACTGAGCCATAGCACTTAAAGTGGTATCAAACTGCATTCATTCTACAGTGTAGATGCACCCTAAGGACTATTAGTTGGATCACAGCAAAGCTAGCCACCTAGATTGAATGCATCTCCACATGTTGCTATATAGTTCTTGCAAACTGAATAATTGCAAAATATGCAAAGATGTGTTTCAATCGATTTAAAAATACAGAAAAAGGAATAGGATTGTGGTGAAAAATAAGCATGAATCATAGAATCATAGAGTTGGAAGAGACCTCATGGGCCATCCAGTCCAACCCCCTGCCAAGAAGCAGGAAACATTGCATTCAAAGCACTCCTGACAGATGGCCATCCAGCTTCTGTTTAAAAACCTCCAAAGAAGGAGCCTCCACCACACTCCGGGGCAGAGAGTTCCACTGCTGAACGGCTCTCACAGTCAGGAAGTTCTTCCTCATGTTCCTCATGAGAAAGTGGAGTAAAATTGGAGTAAAATTGGAGTAAAATTTCCCATTGGAGTAAAATTTCCATCACCTTTCAACCCATTGGAGTAAAATTTCCATCACCTTTCAACTAGTGTTTTGGATGATGGGAGTTATTATTATTATTATTATTATTATTATTATTATTCTGACACAAAAACTCAGTATGTCACAGCAAACGAGATCCATATACTGGATTTCCGATCACAAAATCACAAGTCGAAAACTTCCCAAGCGTCTAGGACTCTGCGATGTATTTTCGAATGAAGCATGCAAATCCAAGTAAGGTGGCCTTTGCAATTCAGATTGTGATTTTGTCAATGCTTGTTTCCAAATGCCGGCTGAGATCTTTTGGCACGGCACCCAGTGCACCAATGACCACTGGGACCACTTGTACTGGTTTATGCCTTTGTAGTTAAGCCCCCCACCACGACAAGGTGGCACCCATTGGGGGATTATTATTATTGTTATTATTATTATTATTATTAAACTTTATTTATACCCTGCCACCATCTCCTCTCAGGGACTCGGGGCGTCTTACATGAGGCCAAGCCCAACGAATACAGTGCATTCCAAGTGTCTGTGGAGGGCATCCAGAGCATCCCTTATCCTAGTGATTCCCAACCTTTTTTTTTGACCAGGGACCACTTGGACCATGGACCACTATCCAACATTAGTACCAAAAAGGGTTACAAATCAGTGTTGGTCAACTTTAGATTTGGTTTGGTTATTTGGGGCACTCATTCAGAAAATTGCATTGGATAGACCACATCAGCACTAGTTTCTGATACAGAACATAATGACATCCAGTAGTCGCCATCTGCTTGCCCACAGAAAATCATATATAATAATCTAGAACTGATGTGGTAGTGGTAATCTTTCGTGGGTAGCCAGCCTTTCCCCTCCTGACATCCCCATTGCCTTGGCACGATAAGAGGGTTTTGTGAGACCAGTCGCTCTCGTTGCCACGTAGTTTCAAAGCAACGGTGTAGTAATGGTGAGGCCACAGACCATATTTTTGTTCTTGTGGACCACTGGTGGGACGCAGACCACAGGTTGGGAACCACTGCCTTATCCGAAAGGCTTGAACCTAAAGTGTTCCATATTCTGGATTGTTGAATACATGCATATGACATTAAGAAAAGATCTTGGATATGTGAGCCAAGTCTAAACACGAAATCCATTTATATTTTATGCACAACTTTTACATGTAGAGAGAGGGTAATTTTATGCACAGTATGTTCAAAATAGTTTTGTGCATGAAACAAACTTTGTGCACACTGAATCATCAGAAAGCAAAGGTGTCTCTTTCTTGGCCACCCAAGTGGATGATTTTGCAGGATTTAGCAATCTTAGATCAGGGATACTGAATCTGTCGTAAACCAAGCTCTTTATGGAAGCTCTGATTCTACATTTCTGGGATTTACTGACATCTGGTCATATCAACAGTATAGAGCCGCAGTTGCACAATGGGTTATAAACCCTTGTGCCGGCTGGACTGCTGATCTGAAGTTTGGGTTGCTGACCTGAAGGTTGCCAGTTCAAATCCGTGTGATGGGGTGAGCTCCCATCTGTCAGCTCTAGCTTGCAGGGACATGAGAGAAGCTTCCCAGCAGGATGATAACACATCCGGGTATCCCCTAGGCAACGTCTCTGTAGATGGCCAATTCTCTTATACCCAAAGTGAATTGCAGTATGTTCTCAAGTTGCTTTTGACATGATTTTAAATATATATTTGCAGTTTCAGGAACATAAGGGGATCTTATTGTAAATACGGAGATACAGCAGCCACAACTCTACAGGGAGGATAAGAAGGAGGATTATTTGCAGAAGAGAATTGGCAGTTGCCTGAAAGGTTATGAACTTCTCCCTACCCCTTTTTTCCTCCAGTGGTTGGCTGGATTTAGGAAGACATATTTGCTGAAACAACATGTAGCTTTGACCTGAACTGCACGAATAAGAACCTTGATCCCGGAAAGTCCCGCACAAACCAAAGCTTTAAGCCATGAGAAATATAGGAAGCCGAAACCCGATAAGGCAGAATGTGTCCTGTTCTTTGAACTTTTCCTTTTTATTTAAATATATCATATATTTATATTTTTATATATATATTAACACACGTTGGAAAAATAAACAGATCCAGAACAATAGCGTTTAGTGGCGAAACAGTGGTCAAGACACAGATACACAGGTTAGTTTGTGCACTTCTCCCACCCGCGCCCACCCTCTTCCCATTTCATGCATTCCCAAGTAAATTAAAACAGGGGATAACTAGTTTCAGCCCTGAAAATGGAACACACCCAATCTATTCCCAAACCCACATACAGCAAGACTCTCTAGAAAAGGCACTAGAGAACATTTAGACTCCTAGCGTGAGGCAAGACCGAACAGGAAAGAGGTATATGTTTGGCTCTGTAGGGTGTGTACCTTTCGGGAGACACAGAGGCGCTCGTTCTTCGCCCCTTGAGCACAATTCACATGTTTATGATTCCTCTTTACGCTTTCCTGACCGGCGGATTTTGTGCCGGCTCAAAAACCTGGTGTTACATCACCATCAAGAACACGCAGATAACCAACACTGCGGAGAGACAAGTCATATCGTTGTGCAACAGCAAGCAAAGGACAACCTTCTAGATGTTGGACTGCAACTCCCAGCTGGCACAGCGTGTTGTATGGGAATTATAGCCCAATGACACTCAGAGGTTGTGTTTTACCCATTCCTTCCGTAATGCTTCCATGTGAATGTTACAAGCACCGATTGGACAGTACCAATATTACCACACGAGCTCAACCCGTCACTCAATATTGCTTGCAGTTTTTGTATCCTTTTAAAATATATAGAGAGAGTGAGTGAATGCTCATTAACTTTTCAACGTAAGTACTCATGTGACTTTACTGTAAGACAGCCTACTATTTGGCTTTCCTGTGGAAACCAAGATCACATATCATGACTCACAACAGAACTACATATTATGCACCACAATGTTCCTCGCTTCATATTTTTCTCTTGTTGGGTTGGAACACTTTTTGGGGTGATTTAACTAGCAATCAGAAACCATTCACCCATCAGTACGGAGAGTTTGCGCCCCACTTAAATGTTCTGGCATACAACTCCCTCAGTAAGGGATTATGGGAGTTGTAATCCAAAATATTGTCAAAGGTTTCATGGCCAGACTCACTGGGTTGTTGTGTGTTTTCCAGGCTGTATGGTCATGTTCCAGAAGCATACTTTCCTGACTTTTTTCTGTATCTTTTTTTCTGTGTCTTTTGTATGTTTGTTTGTTTGTTCTGTCAAAAATGTAATACAACTGTTCGGTTGCCTGACAAGATAAATAAATAAATTCTTTCCTGACGTTTCACCTGTTTCCATGGCAGGCAACCTCAGAGGTTGTGAGGACCTCACAACCTCTGAGGATGCCTGCCATAGATGCAGGCGAAACATCAGGAGAAAATGCTTCTGGAACATGGCCATGCAGCCTGGAAAACTCACAACAACCCAATAATCCAAAATGTTTGCAGGCACAAAAGGTTCCCTACCTTTGGATTGAATACCTCTCCACATAAATTCCACAAAAATCTCCTTCCACATCATATTCCACGCCTTCTTCCCATAATAAAGGGCACCAAGGAAACTACAAAGGGGAAGAAAACACTTAAAGGAAGGGTTGATGCATTCTTAAACCTCTCTCCCTCCCATTCCTCCTCTTAAGTAAAAGGTTTCAGTGACTCACATTCACATTAGATCAGGAAACAGATTTGCAGAAACAATCCTTGTGGATTATTAATAGAGGTTATGTGTAAATTA